ATTGTAGAACATAGCCCAATCAATACCGTGTTAGCCTCCAGGCAGCTGAGCAGTCGTTCCCTTTTTAACCTCGGAGACTGAATCAAACTGCAGCTCTCTGGAAACATGACTGCTATCGATCGGCCTGAATGTTTCCTGGCTGGGAGGGGGGGGATGACCCTGTTAAGGCCTACAGTTAAAGGCAATTACTCCCCATGGGCTAGACTCTGCCGAGGGTTCAGTTTGATGTCTCAGCATGCTATCTGAAATGAGGAGACAGAGAGTGGATGGGGGGAACAGGACTCCTAGATGTGCTCCTCATCCACAGTACTCTTTTTATTTTTTTTCTAATATTGATCCCCACGCCAACGTCTCTGTGCACGCTTTCATGAGCATTATCAAGGCATTGCTTTCTTTAGTGTCGGTCTGAAGATAAAAACTGCAGGAGACCAATGTATGATCAGAAACATTATGGGCCTCTTTGATGCAAGTTCCATGCATTTGGACAGCTGGCCACCTGACCTGACTAGGGTTCTTGATGAGCTTGTTGGATGTCCCGCTCCAAAACCATGGTCATTAATATGGAGTTGGATCCCCTTTGTGGTCATAACAGTCTCCACTCTTCTGGTAAGGCTTTCCATAAGGGTATCGGGGGGAATTGTGTCCATTCAGCCAAAAGAACATTTGTGAAGTCACTGATGTTGGATGATACCTGGAGCTTGAAGGCTTCAAAGTGTCTTGGGTGGGACAAAGCCTTGAATTCTGTGTTCAGATCTTCCTGGAGATCTGCAGGCCATGCGAGCGCACAGGTGTGCATATTTGTTATAAGCCAGGAGCTGGCCATAGCCCCGGGACCTTCTTTGGAGATATGTGCCTGCTTTAACAAGGAGAGGTGAACCACTCAAGAAACAAGGGACCTTCTTTGGAGATAGGTGCCTACTTTAACAAGGAGAGGTGAACCACTGAAGAAACAAGGGACCTTCTTTGGAGATAGATGCCTGCTTTAACAAGGAGAGGTGAACCACTCAAGAAACAAGGGACCTTCTTTGGAGATAGGTGCCTGCTTTAACAAGGAGAGGTGAACCACTCAAGAAACAAGACTCCTGAGCAAGTCGACAGGACTGAGAAAGCTAAGGCAACTAGTAGTCCAGGGGACTGTAGGGGTCTGTATTGTTAGCAGAGTGTAGCAACTTTTTACAGCTTTCTCTGGGTTTTGTAGTGCCGGATTGGGTCCTGAACAGGGGCAGACTGACCATTTGGAAACTAGGGCACTGCCCGAGGGCCCGGGGTCAGTAGGGGGCCCCATGAGATGCCCCTGGTACCTTTTTCATAGGCTTTTTTGAGTTTGGGCAAGGACACAGGGGCCCCATGATCCCCTATTGCCCGGGGGCCCCATGAGTTGTCAGTCCGCCCCTGGTCCTGAAACTTGAGGGCTTGGGCCAACGAAGCCTCCCATCCTGTGTCCAGGTGTTCTGGAGACCTGCAGGCCATGTCAGTGCACAAGTGTGCATTTTTTCGTTATAAGCCAGGAGATGGCCATATCTCAGTGCCTTTGTTTGGAGATAAGTGTGTGCTCTAGAGGCCAAGAGAGGTGAACCACTTGAGGGACAAGACTCCATGTTGGAGAAATTCGCTTACCTGCAGAACTTGAAGAGTTGGGGCAGCTGAGTGAGTCAGCAGGATCAGGGGCGGACTGACCATTTGGAAACTCGGGCACTGCCCGAGGGCCCGGGGTCAGTAGGGGGCCCCATGAGATGCCCCTGGTACCTTTCTCATAGGCTTTTTTGAGCTTGGGCAAGGACACAGGGGCCCCATGATCCCCTATTGAGGGCCCAGGATCAGTAGGGGGCCCCATGAAATGCCCATGGTACCTTTTTCATAGGCTTTTTTGAGTTTGGGCAAGGATCCCTATTGCCCAGGGGCCCCATGAGTTGTCAGTCCGCCCCTGAGCAGGATGGAGCAACTAGCAAGTCCAGGGGACTGGAAGGGTTCTGTAAACCTTCGAAAAGTGAAAGAACCCAGGGTGCCAGAAGATCCCAGTCTAGAGGCCAAGAGGTAGCCTGTGGCTGAGTGAGCCAATGATCCAGAAAGCTGAGTCTGAGGGACCGATGCCAAGAGCCGCTGTTGAAGAGTACGCCAGGTGGCTTAGTATTTTCATGGTTCATTTTGTTGGTTGAAACCCTTCGATATGAACAGCTCAATTTCCAATACCATCTCCCCAGACATCAGCAATGCTCTGTAGAGTCTTAAAGGGCCGTTGGCGTGACACATTAGATTTAGCGGTCTTCCTGCGAGCGCGCCAATTTCATGTGTGACTGTGTTGTGTAGGGGAGCGTGGGATACGTTAACAACTTATTAAAACGCGATAAGAAGATCAATCATTTTCGCAACACTTGGTTTACCTTTAATTCGCCGGCGACCTCAGGTGCCCCTAATTCCAAATTTACGGCACAGCGCGTGTCACGATATGGATTATATATCCGCCGCCGCGCTTGGTTTGCCCTGCAGGCTGCATCTTCTATTATTTATCATATGAAACATGCCACTTTTTCCCCACGGCACGGTACATTAGCTTTCAGCTAAGGAAAATTGGCGCGATCGTTTTGGGTACGGCAATAATATTAATAATACAGGAAGATGATCTTATCATGTCGGGGGGGGAAAAAAAAAACGTTAAATTATTACACTAATACAACCTAATGCTAATTTATTATCACAAAAACAAATCCGCGTCTGAATCGTAAATTGGAGATGAACTCCGGGATCAGCCAATGTTGTCTAAATCCATTCATCATGGGTGTCCTTCCTTGATTCTCGGTGAGCTTTGTGTATTTCTTCCAGACCTGTGCAGTGATCCATTGTGAGACTTCCCGTAATAAAGACCGCTCGTTGCTGCTCTCTCTCCTTGTGCAGGGTAACTGGTCTTGTCTCCGCCCCTTCCTGTAGTTTTCAGTTGTGGGTGGAGCCTGATGGACCCCTCCCATAGCTTTGCTATTTTGAGATTTTGGTGCCTGGAGTTCAGCTTTACCATGAAACTTAATGGGTCAGTCCACTCAGAAGTCAGAAGTACTTTTTTTAGTCAGTTTAGTAGTCCGTTATTTCACGTGGAATGCACGGTGTCAGGTCTCCCTTCGTCAGAAAGTCCTTCCTGTCGTGGTGGTGGTGAACGATATTCTGGGTATGGTTGGGAAAATTCGGGGTCTTGAGAGGAGTAGGGTGCAGGCCAGTGTCTGGATAAAGTGGTGGAGGAATATCAGAACTGTGTCTGTGTCCTCTTGATCTCTGGGTTTGGGTCTGTCCTGCTCTTTCTGTGTGTTCACGTCCTTAGTTTTTGCTTGTTTTTTTCTTTTTTGGTTGGGCAAACTGGAGGATCTCTACCCCTTGGTCTTTTGCTGTGCCTTCCCTCTTCTGTTCGGGGAGTTGGGGGAGTCCGGGAGGGATGGTGGGGTGGGGGGGTTCTGAGTCCTTGTTTCCTCAAGGGGTTGTGGGAATGGTTGAGTTAGGGGCATAATTGCCCATGGAATGGTGGGCCTCTGGGGCTTCCGTAGTTGTGGCCCATGAGGTCTTGTCTTGGGGAGTGGGGTTAGGGATGTTGGGTATTGTGTATGTCTCATTTGTGGCTGATGGGTTTGTGGGGTCTTTTTCCCACAGGTATTGACTTTTGGGGGTTTGTGCCTCTGAGGAGGCTTTTTTGGACTTTGTGGTGGTTTTGGGTCGTAGACCCTTGGGGGAGGGTTATGGGATCTTGGCATGTGTGTATTTGCTTTGTCAGGGTGGGGCCCTTTTTGTTTTATTTTGTTTATGGTTATATATTTTTTTATGTATACTGATTTTTGGTTGCAAGGATTTTTTGAAAATAAAAATTTCCACTCAGAAGTCATATTTTAGATATCGATGGGGCCTGGTTGACTTGCTTCTTATAGGTCTTTGATACACCAACAGTGAGATCTCTTTGTCAGAAGTCCGAGCTTCTGACAGGGAGATTTTGGATGATCCTGCCTAGCTTGGTGTGTCCCAGCTCCCCGTGTTACATTCTCTAGGATATAATATTATTAAAAGTATCCAGTGGGGATGGTGGGAACCCGTCATAATGGGCACAGTAGGTGGACAGACCTGGGAACTCAGCACAGAGATGGTGGGAACCCCTCATAACGGGCACAGCGGGTGACCAGACCCAAGAACTCAGTACAGGGAAGGAGGTAAGCCCTCATAATGGGCAAGGTAGGTGGACAGACCTGGGAAACTCAGCACAGGGATGATGGGAACCCCTCATAATGCGCACAGCAAGTCTACAGAGCTGGAAACTCAGCACTGGGATGGTGGGAACCCCTCATAATGGGCACAGCGGGTGTACAGACCCGAGAACTCAGCACAGGGATGGAGGGAACCGCTCATAATGGACACAGAGGGTGTACAAACCCAGGAACTCAGCACAGGGATGGTGGGAACCCCTCATAATGGACACAGAGGGTGTACAAACCCAGGAACTCAGCACAGGGATGGTGGGAACCCCTCATAATGGGCACAGCAGGTGTACAGACCTGGGAACTCAGCACACGGAGGATGGGAACCCCTTATAATGGGCACAGCAAGTCTACAGACCTGGGAACTCAGCAAAGGGATAGTGGGAACCCCTCATAACGGGCACAGCGGGTGTACAGACCTGGGAACTCAGCACAGGGATGATATGAACCCCTCATAATGGTCACAGCAAGTGCACAGACCCAGGAACTCAGCACAGGGATGGTGGGAACCCCTCATACTGGGCTCAGCAGCTGTAAAGACCCCATAACTCAGGATAGACAGATTGAATAGATAGACTATAATGACTATATGACCCAAGATTGGGAGGTTCTCGGCTCGCTCTTGATAGCGGTGGAAGTCTCTGGTTCCTTTGCTGTGATTTCCGGCATTTCATTCCTGAATTATAGAACATTTCACATCGTTCTATTATTAATCAAAATTCATCATTAATATTCATTACAATGTCGGCCTGTTTTAATGAAAAAAAAACGGCATAATTGACCCTTCCATTTCTCTTCTTTAATTACAGCTGTGCAGTCTCGTTTCCTCCAGGAGCCTGCCGACCAGACGGTGGTGGCGGGGCAAAAAGTGGTTTTGACGTGCGTGGTGCTGAACTACTCCGGGATCGTGCAATGGACAAAAGACGGCCTAGCCCTGGGACTGGGGAACCTAAAGAGTAAGATTTTGATTCTTCCTTCTATTGTGAACTCCCCGGGGGGGGGCTTATTGAATAAAGCGAAAGGCAAAGTGTAGTGATCCTGTGGGTTCTTCATTAAAAATTGATTGGCTAGTGGGTAGCAACATTCCTCTTATTGTCATCACAAAACACTAGACCTTCTGCAGTCTCTAATGACATGAAATCCCCACAATGCTCCTGGAAGCCATATCATTTGGACGGCTTAAACTTTCTAAACTATGGGCCAGTTTACTGCCCTGCAGACTTTAGTGGGGCCTGATTGTGGCCAGTTGGAGTACACAATGCCCTAGCATTGGTATCAGTGGGAGGAATAGTGCCCCATCATTGATATCAGTGGGAGGAATAGTGCCCCATCATTGGTATCAGTGGGAGGAATAGTGCCCCATCATTGGTGTCAGTGGGAGGAATAGTGCCCCATCATTGGTATCAGTGGGAGGAATAGTGCCCCATCATTGGTATCAGTGGGAGGAATAGTGCCCCATCATTGGTATCAGTGGGAGGAATAGTGCCCCATCATTGGTATCAGTGGGAGGAATAGTGCCCCAACATTGGTATCAGTGGGAGGAATAGTGCCCCATCATTGGTATCAGTGGGAGGAATAGTGCCCCATCATTGGTGTCATTGGGAGGAATAGTGCCCCATCATTGGTATCATTGGGAGGAAAAGTGCCCCATCATTGGTGTCAGTGGGAGGAATAGTACCCCACCATTGGTGTCAGTGGGAGGTATAGTGTCCCATCATTGGTGTCAGTGGAAGGAATAGTGCCCCCATCATTGGTATCAGTGGAAGGAATAGTGCCTCATAATTGGTGTCAGTGGGAGGAATAGTGCCCCATCATTGGTATCAGTGGAAGGAATAGTGCCCCATCATTGGTATCAGTGGGAGGAATAGTGCCCCATCATTGGTATCAGTGGAAGGAATAGTGCCCCATCATTGGTATCAGTGGAAGGAATAGTGCCTCATAGTTGGTGTCAGTGGGAGGAATAGTGCCCCATCATTGGTATCAGTGGAAGGAATAGTGCCCCATCATTGGTGTCAGTGGGAGGAATAGTGCCCCATCATTGGTATCAGTTGGAGGAATAGTGCCCCATCATTGGTATCAGTGGAAGGAATAGCGCCCCATCATTGGTGTCAATGGGAGGAATAGTGCCTCATCATTGGTGTCAGTGGGAGGAATAGTGTCCCATCATAGGTGTGAGTGGAAGGAATAGTGCCCCATCATTGGTATCAGTGGGAAGAATAGTGCCCCATCATTGGTGTCAGTTAGAGGAATAGTGCCCCATCATTGGTATCAGTGGGAGGAATAGTGCCCCATCATTGGTGTCAGTGGGAGGAATAGTGCCCCATCATTGGTATCAGTGGGAGGAATACTGCCCTATCATTGGTATCAGTGGGAGGAATAGTGTCCCATCATTGGTGTCAGTGGGAGGAATAGTGCCCCATCATTGGTATCAGTGGGAGGAATAGTGCCCCATCATTGGTGTCAGTGGGAGGAATAGTGCCCCATCATTGGTATCAGTGGGAGGAATACTGCCCTATCATTGGTGTCAGTGGGAGGAATAGTGCCCTATCATTGGTGTCAGTGGGAGGAATAGTGCCCCATCATTGGTATCAGTGGGGGTAATAGTGCCCTATCATTGGTGTCAGTGGGAGGAATACTGCCCTATCATTGGTGTCAGTGGGAGGAATAGTGCCCCATCATTGGTGTCAGTGGGAGGAATAGTGCCCCTTCATTGGTATCAGTGGGAGGAATAGTGCCCCATCATTGGTATCATTGGGAGGGATAGTGCCCCATCATTGGTGTCAGCGGGAGGAATAGTGCCCCATCATTGGTATTAGTGGGAGGGATAGTGCCCCATCATTGGTGTCAGTGGGAGGAATAGTGCCCCATCATTGGTGTCAGTGGGAGGAATAGTGCCCCTTCATTGGTATCAGTGGGAGGAATAGTGCTCCATCATTGGTGTCAGTGGGAGGAATAGTGCCCCATCATTGGTGTCAGTGGGAGGAATAGTGCCCCATCATCGGTATCAGTGGGAGGAATAGTGCCCCATCATTGGTGTCAGTGGGAGGAATAGTGCCCCATCATTGGTATCAGTGGGGGGAATAGTGCCCCATCATTGGTGTCAGTGGGAGGAATAGTGCCCCATCATTGGTATCAGTGGGGGGAATAGTGCCCCATCATTGGTGTTAGTGGGAGGAATAGTGCCCCATCATTGGTGTCAGTGGGAGGAATAGTGCCCCATCATTGGTATTAGTGGGAGGAATTAGGCCCTATCGGTGGCGTCAGTGGCAGAAGTAATGCCTCAAGGGAAGGGGAAAGGCAAGCAAAGGACCACATTCGGCCCCATGGCCGCAGTTTGGAGACTCCTGCTTGAGAGGTTAATAATGGGATTCAGTAATGCTGACATGTGACCTACTCATTTACAGCATAAATTTAAATTCTTGTCCCAATTTAAAGAAACTTTGTCACCTTAACGGGGAAGAAAGGTCCCCTTCTAAGTCCACCCCAACCAGTTACAGTGGCCTTCACAGCGTTCTCCCACTGCTCTTTCCTCCATCACAATACACTCTGTGCTTCCAGGTATGGAGGAGTATGAACTCCTCCCATGATGCAGTGCTGTAGCCTAACAGCCACTCAATTGGTCCAAACATGGAGTATGTGCCATCATCAGCTTGTGTAAGCTCCAACAGCCATTTTTTTTACTATCAAGGTATGTATAAGGTGGCCAGGAGGTTGGCCTTTAGGAGACCTCGTCCTTGTTCCTTGAGTCCACATACCCTGTTTCTATCTCTGTGTCTTCAACCCCTGATGAAGTAGAGTATAGCCCCCGAAACTAGTTGGTTTTTAGACACAATAAAACTACCTTTTGGACCTGAATATTACGGTGTGTGATTCAACAGTAGATTTACCCATCTCAATCGCAAGCCAAGGTATTTGTGGAGATCCTTCAGATTGCAGAAGCTGCCAGCCCAATATTCTCCACCGTTACGCCACCATCTTGGATGACATCCTTCAACCAAAGCTGAGGTGTCCAGCGCCTTTAACCCACTCTTTGAAATTGTTACTAAGCTGGGTTCTACTCAAAATCAGGTTTTACATACTTCTCAGTCAATCCTGCCTGCTTCGGAAATGATCAAATAAAATGAGGACGAAGGCTGAGGATGCCTTTGCAGTTGGTTTTTGAAAGGCCAACATAGTGGCCAACTGTAATTGGAAAAGGGGAACCCATGGGCGGACTGACCATTTGGGAACTCAGGCGCTGCCTGCTTCGGAAATGATTAAATAAAACGGGGACGAAGGCTGAGGATGCCTTTGCAGTTGGTTTTTGAAAGGCCAACATAGTGGCCAACTGTAATTGGAAAAGGGGAACCCATGGGCGGACTGACCATTTGGGAACTCAGGCGCTGCCCGGGAGCCCAGGGTCAGTAGGGGGCCCCATGAGATGCCCCTGGTACCTTTCATAGGCTTTTTTGGGTGTGGTTTGAGTGTGGGCGAGGACACAGGGGCCCCATGATCCCCTATTGCCCGGGGGCCCCATGATTTGTCAGTCCGCCCCTGGGGGAACCATTTAATTTTAGGTTCCATTTTGTGTTTGGCATAGTAAGGCTCCCATTTGCTTCCTGTAAAGTTAATATCGAAGGCTCCCATGCGCAACCCTTTCCAAATTGGTAATATCCACCCGATTCCATGTCCTGCAGTGTGGTCTGATCGCTAACATCACCTGATAGGCCAGTTGTCCTCGTAAGCCCCCGTTACCTATCATCCATATCTATACAGGCTCTTTAAATCTTCTGCATCCATCCATCGCGGGCCCTGCTGCCTCTCTGAAAACCACAGGCAGCAATTTATCCCCAAGCCTCACAGGCCGGCCTGGATTCTGCTGACTAACCAGGATCGTTGCAAATACTTCATTTTGCTGGCATTCTGTCCCACACGCTGATGGATGCCAAAGAGGGCCTTGCTGCTGGAAGCTGAGGCATTGGCCAATGGGGAAAGCAGATAAGAGGAGCAGATCAGACATGGGGGGGCTCTGGCCGATTACTGCCACCCTAATAGGACACTTGAGGCATCCACGCTTGTTCCAATCGACGTCACAGTAAAATAAAATAATTGAGGAGCAAAAAATCAAAATCAGCCTCTGAGGGACCCGTTTTTGCCATCAGGTTTTGTTCAGCCTTTTTTTGATGGTAAATTTGGAAATCAGCCAATTAGCTGCCCTTTAAGCGTGTCTAAAGCCCAAACCTTTTTCTTAGACGTGGTGAGAGGCTAGAAGCCCCGTGCTGTCTGGTAAGGTTTAACCTCTCTGATTGTTCTGGTGACCAGAGGCGGATTGACCATTTGGAAACTCGGTCACTGCCCGAAGGCCCGGGGTCAGTAGGGGGCCCCATGAGATGCCCCTGGTACCTTTTTCATAGGCTTTTTTGAGTTTGGGCAAGGACACAGGGGCCCCATGATTCCCTATTGCCCGGGGGCCCCATGAGTTGTCAGTCCGCCCCTGCTGGTGACTGTTGTCACTGAGACAGGAAGGGATTGGAATTCCAAAAAATTATAGTTGTCACCAAAACAGGGGACATCAGTGTGGGTGACAACTGTCTAGGATGGGATTAACACCAATGGAGACCTTTCTTCTCATTTCCTTCTGTGTCTATGGGACTGAAAGTGAAGGGGAATCTTCTCGGTTGGACACAGATGGTTGATGGGATTTTAATTTTCTCCTACACTATCCAAAACAATATACTTTAAGGGCTTGTTAACATCAGCCCTGTCGGGTTGCATTGCCCAACAAAGGAAGAAGGCCATTTACATGAGGTCCTAAGGCTTCAGTTCGCACCGGTCCTGTTGCTTCTGCTGGTCTTCCAGGGTTGAATGGCACACCATCCAACTCTCCTTCTGTAAAGTTGGTCATACTTGGACTGACAAAACAAATCCATGGATTCCTCCACCCATGCTTGGATGGAGGAATCTCCTGTTGCCAGCTGCCGGTTGTCAGAATATCTAAACAGTGACTTCATTAAGCTCATCTGATTGGATGCATTCACTGTTTTTTTTTTTCCACCCAGCTCCATCGAGACCTTGATTGAAATTTGTTGAGTCAAACCTTGGCAGCAGTTCCACCCATGGCTTGAACCGGCCGAAAGCCAAAGCTTGAATCGGCCAAACAAGCCATGTATAGCTGCATTAACTTCAGGGTGTCACATTCCTGTTCCATGTGGGCACGTCGTTGTGTCGCCCTGGGCTCACGTAATGTCCTCCCTATTTAAAACAGGACCAGAGGCCCCTCACTGCCAGAAAAAGTAGACCTTGTCCACCATTTGACCGAGAAGACATCCAAAAGAAGGACTAGAGAGGAAGAGAGTTTTAAAGTACTTCACCTATAATTTTAACACCAGAAACTAATGTAGGCCATAGATGGGTTGAAAATCAGCCGATTTTTCGGCCGCAAAAAAAATCGGCCGATTTTCGCATCGTTAATGGGTTAATTGGTTGGCCGTTTTTCTGGATTATGTCAGATTTTTTTGATCGGTAAAGTTGGAAAAAAATTGGCCGATCTTTTTACCGATAAAAAAATCTGCGCATGAGCCGTGACCTGGAAGAAGAACAAAAAGAAGAAGAAGAAAAAGAGGAAGAAGAAAAAGACGATGAAGAAGAAGAGAAAGAAGAAGAAGAAGAGAAAGAACAAGAAGAAGAAGAAGAGAAAGAAGAAGCAGAAGAAGAGAAAGAAGAAGAGAAAGAAGAAGAAAGAAGAAGAGGAAGAGAAAGAAGAAGAGGAAGATGAAGAAGAAGAGGAAGAAGAAGAAGAGAAAGAAGAGGAAGAAGAAGAGAAAGAAGAAGAAAAGAAATAAGAGGAAGCATAAGAGGAAGAGGAAGAAGAAGAGGAAGAAGAAGAAGAGAAAGAAGAAGAAGAGAAAGAAGAATTCCAGCCCGCTATTATATTTGACATGAAAAGGTATTGCTGTTGCAACAATGTATCTATTTGTATCTGAAAAAACCATCTGTATCCGAAATGGATACAAATAGATACATTGTTGCAACCGCAATACTTTTTCATGTCAAATATAATAGCGGAGCTCTCTGCAGGGACAGTAATTAAATGCCGGCCGTAGACGGGAAGAAAATCGGCCAATTTTTTTTTACTGTTGGTTGTAACGTCGGCCTATTGAACGACCGATTTTTCGTTTTTTGTTAAAAAACCGGCCGGTTTTCTCCCCATCTATGGCCTGCATAAGTTCCAATGAATAGTTATTGGCTGACCTCAAATGTGGTCTATGACAACAAACAATTTGCGTGGGTATCCTTGACGTAAGCGCATTAAAATTCGGCTCTTCCAGCAAACATCTGAAGCCATCAATGAACAGGTATTGCTGCATTGTTACACCCGAATTTCTAGTCTACGTTATTTTGCCTTGTGTAGGAGCATCCACAAGCCCCAGAGGGGACTTTCCCACGCCTTCTGTTTCATTTTGAAAATATTTCCCACATGAAAGCTTTTGAGGTGCCACCTCAGGGGTATTCCTGATGTCCTCCCATAGGGCGTCTCGTATAAACATCTGACTCATAACTTGGAGTAAATACTCCAAATGCTGGTGGACCCAGTCATATTCTGAGTCCACCCATCAACCTACGCCAACACACAAGGTGGGGGCCACTGGCAAGAAAGATTCCCGAGTCTTCACTAGAACTAACTGGAGTTCCAAATCTATCTCTCAACCCCCCACCTCACCCCCTCGATCTCCGCCCGAATCACACACCTACTGAGCGACATATCAGACTGGATGTCGCTCCACTACCTTAAACTGAACCTCTCCAAAACCGAGTTTCTTGTCTTCCCCCCAGCCCGGACACCACCCCCCATTGACTTCTCCATCACATCCAACAACGCCACCATCAAACCCGCCGCCCCGCAGGCCAGAGTACTTGGTGTCATTCTGGACTCCAACCTATCCTTCCAGCCCCAAGTCCAATCTTTAACAAACTCGTGCAGACTCCACCTCCGCAACATCGCCAAAATCCGCACGTTCCTAACCCCAGAAACCACTAAACAGCTCATCCACTCCCTCATCATATCACGACTCGACTACTGCTACTCCCTCCTCACTGGCCTTCCTCGCCACAGGCTATCCCCCGCTTCAGTCCATCCTGAATACGGCTGCCAGACTCATTCACCTTTCCAACTGCTCCATCTCCGCCACCCCCCTCTGCCAATCCCTCCACTGGCCTCCACTCAGTGTCCTCCATCCCCCTCTGCCAATCCCTCCACTGGCTTCTGATTGCCCAACGGATCAAATTCAAAATCCTAACACTGACGTACAAAGCTGTCCACCATACTGCCCCGAACTACATCACCGACCTAATATCCAAGTACCGCCCAACACGCACACTCCGCTCCTCACAAGACCTCCTCCTTCTCTCTAGTTCCCTGGTCTCCTCCTCCCATGTCCACCTCGAGGACTTCTCCAGGGTGTCATCCATCCTCTGGAACTCCCTGCCCCAACCCATCAGATTATCACCTACTCTCCTCTCCTTTAGGCGCACCCTGAAAACCCATCTCTTCAGGGAAGCCTACCCCACCCCCTGCTAACTTGCCGACCTCCTCCACTCTTCCTCCCACTCCATCCCCCACAGCTATCTCCTCCTGTGCCACCATCCCCTCCCTCCTAGATTGTAAGCTCCAAAGAGCAGGGCCCTCGATCCCCTCACGTTTGGCATTGTATTGGTATTGTTCTGTCACATGTTCTGTCCCCCTTTGTAATGTACAGCGCTGAGCGAACTATTGGCGCTTTATAAATACTGTATAATAATAATAATGTGGATGGGCAAAAATGTTCATACCATGCCTAAGCTGATACGCTGGTTGAATACAAACCATACTGACACAATGGCTTGATTTACTAAGGGCCCGTTCACATTGAGTTGCATTAGAAAAAGATGGATCAATCTAGGTTGAATGGAAGGACCTGAAGATAACAATTGTCCCTATTTGGTGTGAAAGGACCCCAAGGGCTCAGCGTTTGGGTGCTTGAGATGTGTCTTACCATCCCCAACCACTTTCCTTTAGCTGCAGAGGCAGCAACAAAATGGGCCATGGCAGGAATTATAGCCCTCCCCATCACTTTCAGAGGGTGTAGCACCCAACAAAGGCAACCTATTTGAGGGAATGGGACCACTCTGCAAGTGCCCCCCACCTCCCTAAATCTGGTTTTCTCGATTGGTCCTGATTAACCAGCTACCATGCTACTTAACACAAGCTAAAACAACCCACTCAATGTTTGAGGGACCACTTTAGCATGCCCATCAGAGTTATCAGGAGGAGGTGTACTACTGGCACGTCCATACATCCTGTATTACCGACAACATGGTGGGACGCTTGTTGCAGGAGGAATGGGAGAGGAGTATCGGGTGCACGGGCGAGACTGAAATGTCTATAAAATGTTATAGGGCGATAAAATCTCAGGACGGTTCACAGCAGCCGCTTCCAGATCTGACACTATCTAGTAGACGTTGGTTGAATGTAAAAACGTCCATTTCTCTCCTGACATCTGCAGGATTGTTCTGTCCCCGGCCAGTCAATGCTGCATCTGGATTGTATGTCAGACTAGAACAACATCATCACCTATGGGAGCCGGAGAGAACTGCAACCTGTGAGAGCAGATACAGGAAAGCTGAACTTCAGGCAGATATATGTGATAAAATGCCATCTGCTCCAATGGAGTGTTCCTTTAAATGACTGGGAGAGGGAGGGGCAGCACTTTGGGCCAATCAGCTGCTTTGCATTCACATGCCTCGGAATAGAAGAGAACATGAACCCCATCAGCCTCCTGCTGCTCTGTAACAGTCCAATCACAGGCTCAGGGCAGGGTGGTGACCCCTTAGCAGGCTGGCAGTGTAAATCCTAGAACTAGATGGACGAAGATAGAAATCCAGCTCCCATATGTATATTTTAAATTGCAAATAATGTATTTTCTCTTTCTGTAGTCTGGCCTCGCTATCAAGTGGTGGGAAACGTGGATTCTGGCCAGTACAACCTGGAGATCACCAACGCCAGCATCTACGATGACGCTAACTTCGAGTGCCAAGCCACAGAGGCCGCCCTACGGTCCAAGGGAGCCAAGCTGACCGTGCTGAGTAAGGACTGGAATATTCCAATTGGCATTGATCTGTTGGTATTCGTATTGATATATTGGTATTGATGTATGTATCAGTATTTGTATTGTTTTGCTGGTATTGATCAGACCGCCCCTTGAAGACGTCATTCATGACGAAACTAGTAGGGCTTGCTGGATGCTGATGTTTGTGGAGAAAATTAAGTCACGAGCGCTGTAGTGAGTGTGTGGGGAACAGGAGACTGTTATACCATTTGCTGTTTTATGCTGTTATACTGGTGTCGGTGAAGACACCCTTTTTGTGAGTGTAAATCTTTATTAAATTGTTGGATACTTTTATAAAAAAAACTGGCTGCACCATGATTTTCTCTTTCATTCCTAAACATGACCTCGGTGGAGAGATATAAAAAGAGAGAGTGATATAATGCTCCTGGAACCATTATATTGAGTGGTGGATACCTACCTTATGGATGATTGTGTAGCTATTGATCATCACACCTGAGAAGTTGATTCATTGCATCTGCTCCCAGAGCAAAAAGCGTTTTTTGCTGATCTAGAGATTGATCAGCATGGAGCTCTGGTGAGTTACCCAACTTTACTTTGGTGGTGGATTTTGGCACAATTTCTTTGAGAGCACTTGAATCTGAAAAGGATTTGTTTGGACATTTGAAGAAATTCAGAATTGGACATTTTTTTATATTCACAAATTTAATTATTTAAATTACTTATGCACTAAAAAATAGTTTTGCACATAATTTTGATATTTTTTGATATTAATTGAGAATAGATATATATCTTTTGCACTAATGTTTCTACACTAAATTAGGAATAGTTTGTGGTTTTAGCGCATTCCTTTATTTAAATTGGTATTGATGTATGAGTATTGATATTGAGTTATTGGTATTGATGTATGAGTATTGATATTGAGTTATTGGTATTGATGTACAAGTATTGATATTGAGTAATTGGTATGAGTGTTGGCATTATTTATTAGTATTCATGTATCGGTGTTGGAATTGATGTATCGGTATTGGTATTGATGTAGGAGTATTGTATTGATTTATTGGTATTGAAATATGAGTGTTGGTATTGATGTATTGGTGTTGATATTGATTTATTGTTATTGAAGTATGAGTGTTGGTATTGATGTATTGGTGTTGATATTGATTTATTGGTATTGATGTATTGGTGTTGATATTGATATATGAGTATTGGTATTGATGTAAAGATGTTGTCATTGATTTATTGGTGTTGATATACATGTATGATTTTTTTTATTGATGTATGGGTATTGGCATTTATGCATGGGTATTGGTAATAGTATTGATGTATTGGTATTAATGTATTGGTATTGGCATCAATGCATTGGTAATTGATGTTTTGGTATTAATGTATGAGTATTGGTATTGATATATGGGTGTTGGCATTGACGTATTGGTATCGATGTATGGACATTGATATTGATGTAACAGTGTTTTCATTGATGTATTGGTATTGGCATTGATGTATGAGTATCGGTACTGATTTATGAGTGTTGGCATTAATGTATTGGTATTGGCATTGATGTATTGGTATTGATGTGTTTTTATTGGTATTGATGTATTGGTATTGATGGGTTGGTATTGGCATGAATGTATTGGTATTGGCATTGATATACTGGTATTGATGTATGGGTGTTGGCATTGATATACTGGTATTGATGCATTGGCATTGACATTATTGTATGAATATTGGCACTGATATATGGATATTGGCATTAATGTATTGGTATTGATGTATGGGTGTTGGCATTTATGTACTAGTATTGATGTATTGGTATTGGTATTGTCATTAATGTATGAATATTGGTTTTGATGTATTGGTATGGATGTGTTTGTATTGGTATTGATGGGTTGGTATTGACATCAATGTATTGGTATTGGCATTGATATATTGGTATTGATGTATGGGTGTTGGCATTGATGTACTGGTATTGATGTATTGTTATTGATGTATTGGTATTAGCATTAATTTACTAGTATTGGTGTATTGGTATTGGCAATAATGTATTGGTATTGATGTATGGGTGTTGGTATTGATGTACTGGTATTGATGTATTGGTATTGATGTATTGATATTGATGTATGGATGTTGGCATCAATGTATTGGTATTGATGTATTGGTACTGGAATTACTTATTACTGGTATTGGCTTAATAACATTTGGGTTTTTTTTGCACAGAACAAATATGCATGCGCTTTCAATTGGCAAATACTTTACAAATACACCCTTTTAAACAAATTTAATCTAAAAAATCCATTTATTGATGTATTAATGAATACAGAGCTCCATGAACGAGTGCCTTTTAGACCTGGCTTCTTGCGTAAATCCAGTGGTGATGGGTTCTCTTTAATCAGTTGATGCTTGGTACAAAGACTTGCTGGGTTCTCACACTGTGAAGTTTATACACGGGGGTGCAGCCTCTTCCCCTCCTCTGCTCTATGCGGAGTTTTTATATGCCATTGTTAGGAGCAGCGGCGGACTTGCAGCAACCTGTTAGCAGGTAATCAGCAACCAGCCAGGCAGGGCGAGCTCGGAGTGCATGCCCTCCAGATTACAATGGAAGGATAGAGAGGGAGACAATTGCGCTCTTGTGAAAGCTTTCTCCTGCGTGAAATCCCTTGATTTTTTTTGTTTTCTCACCTATTTGGCTCCAAGCAAGTCCCAGCAGTCAGGAGTCTAATTACCGGCACCTCGCTGCCCTGCGTGATACTAATGAAGGCAGCGCTTACCTATTCCCAACCATGGCTCCTCCGCACTGCCCGCCTAATAGATGCCACTGAAGTGCCCGGGGATCCCGGCCACACACTAAGGGGTCTATGGAGGGCCAAGGACTATGTATGGAATGGAGTAAGCACACGAAAAACATACATATATATATATATATATATATATATATATATATATATATGAAAACATTGAGCCAAGTTTCACATACATATCGAATGTCAGCAGAGGCCATAGACATGCATAAGGGACATAGGGGTGTATTTTAAAAAATGCAACACTTTGCAACCTGCGAAACAGCATTTACATTCATTCTGTGCAAATAGGAGGCAAAAAACGAATGTTACTAAGGCATGTTCTCTCCAGGCCGAATGTTACCCTTCATACAGAAGAGCGAAGCAGGGAAATACCACAATATGGCCACTAGATGGAGCCGATGATCATAGTGAATAGGTATTATCAGCGCCATCTAATGGCCACAATGGGGTACTTTCCCCATTCACTCTATTCTGTATGTATAAGTGAACAAGGTCTCGTTCACACAGGTGGTAAAACTGGGTGGTTTGGTCTAGTGTTTACTGACCCTTGATTGGCTATGGAAAGCCTTGGAGGCCATGAGTGTACAGATTTAGGGCCGAAACACACAGTTGTGAAACCGTTGTGAATCAGATAAAAATACTACAATATGGCCACTAGACAGCGTTGACAATCACAGTAAATGGGTATATTACCAGCTCCATCTAGTGGCCATAATGGGCTATTTTCCAGATTCACTCTATTCTGGATATGTATATATATATCACAATACAAGGCTTCTTTCACACAGATGGTAAAAATAGCAGGTTCAGCCTAGTTTTTACCAACCCTAAATTGGCCTCAGAAAGCGTTGAAGGCCATACATATATAGATTTAGGGCCGAAACGCACGGTTGTGATGCCATTGTGCATCAGATAAATACTGAAATATGGCCACTAGATGGCGTGAAGGTGATCATAGTCAATGGGTATCACCAGCTCCATCTAGTGCCCATAATGGGCTATTTTCCAAATTCAATCTATTCTGTATATATATATATATATATATATATATAAAACAATACAAGGCTTCTTTCAAACTAGTGGTAAAAATGGCAGGTTCAGCCTAGTTTTTACCAACTCTCGATTGGCCATGGAAAGCCTAGGGGGTCATGCATATTAAAATTTAGGGCCGAAACGCACAGTTGTGACGCCGTTGTGAAACAGGAATATACCACCATGTGTCCACTAGATGGAGCCAACAATCAGAGTAAACAAGTAGCATCAGTGCCGTCTAGTGGCCATAATGGGGTATTTTCCTGATTCACTTTATTCTGTATGTAGAAGTATATTGTAATACACAGAGTGTATTAGGGCCTCATGCACATGAGAGAGCTGACTATGGCTGTATGCGGGTTTACATTGCTGCTTGTGAAAACCCGCACGTGCGTAAATCGGTACGCCCCCTCCCCAGATGCAGACAGTGCGCGGGTTCCACTATAGTCTACTATATGCGGCATCAGTATATCCCGGGCATGGAAATAACCTCCAATTTCCCTAACATGACCTCATGTGCCTGTGTGCATGAAGTCTAAAAAACGCCACATGTGTTAGTGTGTTGCTCTGACATCCATTTTGATTGGCGACTAAACACATTTGCTTTTTGGCGCGCCGCCCCATATGGAAGAAAAATATATTTGAAATATATATTACAAATATTCTTCCCAAATATATTGACATATATTTGAAATACTACAGTTTTGGCCATATTCAATATATTTAAAAATATATTTCAATAAATAAATATATATATATATATATATATATATATACACACTGTATGTCAAAATATATTTCAATAAATATTTTTATATATTTTGTAAAAAAAATTCATTTCAACATACAGTATATATATATATAGAAATATATTTTGACATGCAGTATAAATATATATAGAAATATATTTCAACATACAGTATATATATATACTGCATGTCAAAATATATTTATATATATAATATATATATATATATATATATATATATACTGTATGTTGAAATGCGTTTTTTTTTTTTTTTTTACAAAATATATGAAAAATATTTTTAAAAATACATTTCAATTCAATTATATTGCATGTCTTTAAAAATACAAATCTGCATTTTTGGAATGCATTTACAAAATATATGTAAAAATATATGTTAAAGTGATATTTTATATATTACAAAATATATGAAAAATATTTTTTTAAATATATTTTTTTTAAATACAGTCTTCACATTTTTTTAACATATAAAAAAGTAATTTTAACATATATTTTTTACATATATTTGTAAATGCATTCCAAAAATGTAGATTTGTATTTTTATAGACATACAGTATATTGGAAAATGTATTTTTAGAAATATTTTTCATATATTTTGTAATAAAAATGCATTTCAACATGCAGTGTATGTATATACTGTGTGTGTATATATATATATATATATATATATATATATATATATATATATATATACAGTATATATATATTTATCTATTGAAATATATTTTGACATACAGCATATATGTATATATATACTAAACACACTTGCTTTTTGGCATATGGAAGAAAAAAATATATTTGAAATATTTTTTAAAATATTCTCCTCAAATATATATATATATACTGTATGTGTATATATTTATTGTATTTATTTCTTTTTATTTATTTAAATATATTTTGAAATATATTGAATACGGCCAAAATTGTAGCATTTCAAATATATGTCAATATATTTGGGAAGAATATTTTTTTAAAAATATATTTCAAATATATTTTTCTTCCATGTGGGACAACACACAATAAAACTCTACTTTTGGCATTGCCAAAAATGGTGCAGGTGGATTTTTTTGGTGTGCTGCCAGCCCCATCACTTGAATGCAACACAAGTTAAAAAAACACGCACCAACGCACATGCGTGAACGCAGCGGCCCAGGACGCCAAGGTATAAGTTGTCTCTGCTCTGACACTGTAATGTGGTGATAGATGTCTAACGTGTCTTCTTTCTATCCCCAGTTCCCCCGGAGGATCCCGTCATAGAATCGGGCTCGGACACCCTCCTCCTGAGAGCCGGGATCCCCTACAACTTGACCTGCCGAGCCGAAAAAGCCAAGCCAGCGGCCAGCATCGAGTGGCTCCGGGATGGAGCCCTGCAGGAAGGATCCGTCACCACCACGGTGAGTAGCCCCGCCGGTCTCAGCCGCCTGTGATCTACTCTCTGCCTGCCTTTGTTCTTCCACTTGAAATCCGGCCTTCCAGGTTGTAGCTGAGCCCCAGGGCGTGCCGCGCCGGCCCCTGGTGAAACACGAGAGAGTTTTGATCTTTTCTTTCCGCCGCTTCAACATGAAAGGCCTTTGTGGAAGTGCCTGCCTTTTCATTCTTCCATCCAGACACATCTGAGGTGACCAGAGCCTCTGTGCTGAACCTCATAACAGTGACTGCTTTATTCCGCAAGAAACCTCGGACGCGGCTCTTTGTAGCACATCTGAGGCGGGAGCCGCGGCACTCACCCGCCCCGCTTATCCTGATGGATCCTGTGCGTCCGGAGCCCGAACGTTTCTATACGATCTTACTGGGGCCATTTTAACTGCCTACTCTCTGAAAATGACCTCTGTCAACGGGACTCTGATCAAAAGGTGTTTAAAGGAAAGAGTACTTCAAGGGCTTTCCTCGAGAAAGTTCTGCACCGTGATTCCTTCAAGTGTTAGGAGCAGCTTCTGGTTTCACTTGAAATCTATTTAAAGGTTTTGTTAGGAACAACCGATACAGCCAACACGTTTCGGAAGAAGGACTCCTCCTTCTTCAGGGCTTGGCCTATGCAATCAGGATGAAAAATTATAGAAAATCTAACTTGAGGCTTTATCAGTACTGGTCATATAGAGAAACACCTAGGCAACCTCGGCACTCCAGCTGTGGTGAGACTATAAAACCCACCATGTCTCTGCCTGTGGTAGTCATGCCTTAGTTAGGCCGAATCTTTCAACATCTTGAGGGCTTTGAAGTGTCACCACAACTGGAGTGGTTTGGTTGCCTAGCCCTGGGTGATGATCTATGCCGTCTTCGCAAATCCTGCTATATGTCTTTGGGCATGATGGTGACCCTCTTAACATGGATGGCCCAAACTTTGCTGTCCTCGAAGAGTCCTATGAGATAAGCCTCTCAGGCCTCCTGCAGAGCCATGATGACAGTGGAGCTCTGGAAGCGGAACAACCGATACTGCCAACACATTTCGGAAGAAGGACTCCTCCTTCTTCAGGGCTTGGGCTATGCAATCAGGATGAAAAATTTATAGTAAATCTAAATTGAGGCACTACCAGTACTGGTCATGTAGAGAAACACCTAGGCAACCTCGGCACTCCAGGTGTGGTGAGACTACAAAACCCACCATGTCTCTGCCTGTGGTAGTCATGCCTTTGGTTGGCCGAATCTTGCAACGTCTTGAGGGCTTTGAAGTTTCACCACAACTGAAGTGGTTTGGTTGCCTAGCCCTGGGTGATGATTTATGCCCTCTCTTCGCAAATCCTGCTATATGTCTTTGGGCATGATGGTGACCCTCTTAATATGGCTGACCAAAAGTTTGATGTCCTCAAAGAGTCCTATGAGATAAGCCTCTCAGGGCTCCTGCAGAGCCATGACAGTGGAGCTCTGGAAGCGGAACAACCGATACAGCCAACACATTTCGGAAGAAGGACTCCTCCTTCTTTAGGGCTTGGGCTATGCAATCAAGATGAAAAATTATAGAAAATCTAAATTGAGGCTTTACCAGTACTGGTCATGTAGAGAAACACCTAGGCAACCTCGGCACTCCAGCTGTGGTGAGATTACAAAACCCACCATGTCTCTGCCTGTGGTAGTCATGCCTTTGGTTGGCCGAATCTTGCAACGTCTTGAGGGCTTTGAAGTTTCACCACAACTGGAGTGGTTTGGTTGCCAAGTCCTGGGTGATGATCTATGCCCTCTCTTCGCAAATCCTGCTATATGACTTTGGGCATGTTGGTGACCCTCTTAACATGGATGGCCAAAAGTTTGCTGTCCTTGAAGAGTCCTATGAAAAGCCTCTTCCTGCCATGTCCAGTGGAGCTCTGGAAAGAGTACAGCCAACACATTTCGGGATGAGACTCCTCCTTCTTCAGGGCTTGGGCTATCAGGATGAAAAATTATAGTAAATCTAAATTGAGGCACTACCAGTACTGTCATATAGAGAAACACCTGGCAAGCACTCCTGGGTGTGGTGAGACTACAAAACCCACCACCTGTGGTAGTCATGCCTTTGGTTGGCCGAATCTTGCAACGTCTTGAGGGCTTTGAAGTTTCACCAACTGAAGGACTGCCTAGCCCTGGGTGATGATTTATGCCCTCTCTTCCTGCTTATGTCTTTGGGCATGATGGTGCAATGGCTGACCAAAAGTTTGATGTCCTCAAAGAGTCCTATGAATAAGCCTCTCAGGCTTCCTGCAGAGCCAAATGGAGCTCTAACTGCCAACACATTTTAGAAGAAGGCTCCTTCTTCAGGGTACTGGGCTATGCAATCAGGATGAAAAAATATAGAAAATCTAAATTGAGGCTCTACCTACTGGTCATATAGAGAAAGACCTAGGCAACCTCGGCACTCCGGCTGTGTTGAGACTACAAAACCCACCATGTCTCTGCCTGTGGTAGTAATGCCTTTGGTTGGCCGAATCTTTCAACGTCTTGAGGGCTTTGAAATTTCACCACAACTGGAGTGGTTTGGTTGCCTAGCCCTCGGTGATGATCTATGCCCTCTCTTCGCAAATCCTGCTGTATGTCTTTGGGCATGATGGTGATCCTCTTAACATGGATGGCCCAAAGTTTGATGTCCTTGAAGAGTCCCATGAGATAAGCCTTTCAGGCCTCCTGCAGAGCCATGACAGTGGAGCTCTGGAAGCGCAGATTGGTCTTGAAATCCTGGGTGATCTCGCTGACAAGTCAGTGGAAGGGAAGCCTTTGTATGCGCAGTTTGGTGGATTTCTGGTAGCACCTTGGGGAGCCACCATGCTGGGCCTGTGCTGGTGGGACTTCTTGACTCTGCTCTTGCAGGTGGCTTTGATGGCCAGTTGCTGGCAGGGAGCTTTCCCATCCAAGCTGTCTATTTGGTTCTTGCCTGTGCCGGACTTGTAGTAGCAATGATGCTTCTTGACTTCACCGGTGGCCAGGGCGCTCTTGAAGGCAGCTTTGGTGGCCTGCTGCTTGCAAGGAACTTTCCACCAGTAGACTTGTGAGCAATCTAATTGGTCCTTGCCTGTGCTGGGCCTGTAGCAATGAAGCTCCTTGACTCCGCTGGTGGCCAGGGCACTCTTGCAGGTGACTTTGGTTTCCTGCTGCTTGCAAGGAGCTTTCCCACAGGTGGACTTGTGAGTGGTCTACTTCATTCTTGCCTGTGCCGGGCCTGTAACAATAAGACTTCTTGACTCCACCGGTGGCCAAGGCGCTCTTGCAGATGGCTTTGGTGCCCTTCTGCTTGTGAGTAGCTTTCCCATCGGTGGACTTGTGAGCCATCTACTTGGCCGGTGTTGGACCTTTAGCGATTCTTGACTCCACCGGTGACCAGGGTGCACTTGTGGGTGGCTTTGGTGGCCAACTGCTTGCGGGAAACTTTCCCACCAGTGGACTAGTAAATGGTCTACTTGGTTCTTGCCCGTGTTGGGCCTGCAGTAGCACTTGAGGCTTCTTGACTCCAAGGAGGCCAAGCAGCTCTTTCAGACAACATTGGTAGCCAGCTGTTTGCGAGGAGCTTTGCCACCATGAGTTGCGAGCGATCAATTTGGTTCTTGCCATAGCTGATAGCACTACCTTTATACTCGAAAGAGATGGAAGAATCTAGTACCTACCCCCACATTAGAACTTTTGGTTCAAGAGGAGAAGAGGAGAACCAGAGAACCAGAGTTCACATTGCCTGATGCTTCCCTTCATGAGGGATCTTGCCTCTAGGTCTTGACCCATGTGGCCAGCACTGAAGGGAGCACACAAAAGAAGATAGGGGCACCTTACGATTTGAGCATGCACAGGTCCTCTTTAAGCAAGTTCAATCTTTTTTACAGTGAATCCTTGTTTTGCAGATGGTGTTGGTGGATGGAAAACTTGAAACCACCGTGAGCTACCTGTTGATAGTCCCTACGGACCAAGACATTGGCCGGATGTTCACGTGCAGGACTTCGAACTACGCTATTCCGACCGGCAAGGAGACCACGGTCAAGCTGGACGTGCATCGTAAGCCATATTGCCAATGATACAGTACTTCCTGTTTCATACTGTCTGATGTTCGTAAAAGAGCTCAACCAGACCTTTGAAGAAGAAGCCCAGATTCAGTGAAAAGTCCTGAAAATGTAAATAGGGTCCCTAGCATATTTGAAAAGGGCAATAATGTGTTGTCAGTGGACGAATCTCTCGACGGCACCCCCCAGAAGCAAAGGAAGGCGTTGATATAAAATATGGCATCCTTAGCATCTCTATTGCAACACATTTCTTATTGGTTCTGGGGGCCATATACTTGCTATGCACAGCGGCATCTAGTGGTGGAATAGGGATAAGCACATCCCATATACTTGCTGTATACACAGCCCCATCTAGTGGAGGAAAGGGAATAAACACACCTTACACAGCGCCATCTAAAGGTAGAAAGGGCTAAGAGCAGCCAATTCTTGGATGTGTCAGGAATGGCTTTTTTGCCTTTAACCCCTTCTATTTTAATCTATTCTAGTCTTTTAGTTTCTTGTCTCTTCTCTTCTATTTTACTATATTATATTCTTTTAGTCTCTCTTCTCTTCGAATCTATTCTGTTCTTTTAGTCTCTCTTCTCTTCGAATCTATTCTATTCTTTTAGCTTCTTGTCTATTTTAATCTATTTTATTCTTTTAGTTTCTTGTCTCTTCTCTTCTATTTTAGTCTATTCTATTCTTTTAGCTTCTCTTCTATTTTAATCTATTCTATTCTTTTAGTTTCTTTCTTGTCTCTTCTCTTCTATTTTAGTCTATTCTATTCTTTTGCTTTCTCTTCTCTTCGAATCTATTCTATTCTTTTACTTTCTCTTCTCTTCGAATCTATTCTATTCTTTTAGTTTCTCTTCTCTCTTCGAATCTATTCTATTCTTTTAGCTTCTCTTCTATTTTAATCTATGCTATTCTTTTACTTTCTCTTCTCTTCGAATCTATTCTATTCTTTTAGCTTCTCTTCTCTTCGAATCTATTCTATTCTTTTAGCTTCAGTTCCATTTTAATCTATTCTTTTCTTTTAGTTTCTCTTCTCTTCAAATCTATTCTATTCTTTTAGCTTCTCTTCAAATCTATTCTTTTCTTTTAGCTTCCCTTCTATTTTAATCTATTCTATTCTTTGATGATGTAATCCTTGCACTCCAGTCTGTAACTTCGCCTAGGCTAAAATGATACCATCATAGGCAGGAGGAACTCGAGTCTCTTCTCCCCTTGGCGATCACGCAGACCGTACATTGTAACTTTGTAGCAGGCGAAAGGCTGCAGCAGGGGGGCCGATCTGCGTCAGACATTTGCGAACGCAGGCATCTCAATCCAGGAAATAGATAACAACCCTGAAAAAAGATGGTGCCGGCATCCTGGAGATGAAAGCAAATGGTCAGTTCTGTGATCTCTGTGAAAGGTAATAAATACCTGGAAGCGTGGCACCGAGGCATTACATAACACGAATGCTCCAAACACGAAAAATATATCTGATGCTGGCGCCGCCGTCATTTTGCGGATCTGACAGATCCGTATGTGGTTCTGTACGTGGCCAGCTGAGCCATTATTTACATCTTGCTTAATAAACACTTTTAAACAATCCTGGTAATGGCTCCCCCAGTGATGTCACCGCATTTGCATTCATCATGTAAGCTCTATTGTAATAATTGGAAGGGATAATGGACGGTGCGGAGGGTTTCCGCCATTACCATCATTCTGCTTGATTAGGAAAGCTAAGTAGATTCGTTAAGCATAGTGGGGGGAAGGGCGCGCATCTCAACTTAATACGATAGCGGGAAAGTGCTGACTTGTCTGGTCGCGGAGCCAGCAATAATTCTCCCAGGGAGCCGGCCAAGCTGGCCGCTTTCCTTCTGCTCCCCATTGCTCATCGATTGACTCTGGATGGCCAGATGTGCCGCGGAGTGTCACCGGGTTGTCAGGTGACGCGGCGATTAGGACAACGGCTTCACCAGCTAGATGGCTGCATGCATATTGTGCCTCGGCAGATGGAAAGCCGCAGGATGCCTACAGCGGAAACCCCTATGTAAAATACACCTGGCACACAGTTAACCCTTTGATCGCCCCTTAGGTTAACCCCTTTCCTGCTGCAGGATGCCTACAGCGGAAACCAGATCTATGATACAGGTGCCTTTAAGGAATACTCCCATACGGGGGCGGATTGACAACTCATGGGGCCCCGGGCAATAGGGGATCATGGGGCCCCTATGTCCTCGCCCACACTCAAACCACACCCAAAAAAAGCCTATGAAAGGTACCAGGGGCATCTCTTGGAGCCCCCTACTGACCCTGAGCCCCCCGAGTTCCCAAATGGTCAGTCCGCCCCTGCACGGCCCCCTATGTAAAACACACCCAGCACACAGTTAACCCTTTGATCGCCCCTCATGTTAACCCCTTTCCTGCCGCAGGATGCCTACAGCAGAAACCAGATCTATGATACAGGCGCCTTAAAGGAATACTCCCATACAGGGGGCGGACTGACAACTCATGGGGCCCCGGGCAATAGGGGATCATGGGGCCCCTATGTCCTCGCACACACTCAAACCACACCCAAAAAAGCCTATGAAAGGTACCAGGGGCATCTCTTTGGGCCCCCTACTGACCCCAAGCCCCCCGAGTTCCTGAATGGTCAGTCCGCCCCTGCACGGCACGGCCCCCCTATGTAAAACACACCCAGCACACAGTTAACCCTTTGATCGCCCCTTATGTTAACCCCTTTCCTGCCGCAGGATGCCTACAGCGGAAACCAGATCTATGATACAGGCGCCTTAAGGGAATACTTCCATACAGGGGCGGACTGACAACTCGTGGGGCCCCCGGGCAATAGGGGATCATGGGGCCCCTGTGTCCTCACGCACACTCAAACCACACCCAAAAAAGCCTATGAATGGTACCAGGGGCATCTCTTGGTGCCCCCTACTGACCCCGGGCCCCCCGGAGTTCCAGAATGGTCAGTCCGCCCCTGCACGGCCCCCTATGTAAAACACAGCCAGCATACAGTTAACCCTTTGATCACCCCTCATATTAACCCCTTTCTTGCCGCAGGATGCCTACAGCGGAAACCAGATCTATGATACAGGCGCCTTAAAGGAATACTCCCATATGGGGCGGACTGGCAACTCATGGGGCCCCCGGTCAATAGGGGGATCATGGGGTCCCTGTGTCCTCGCACACACTCAAACCACACCCAAAAAAGCCTATGAAAGGTACGGCATCTCTTTGGGACCTCCTACTGACCCTGGGCCCTCAGGCAGTGCCCGAGTGCCCTAATGGTCAGTCCGCCCCTGCTCCCATATACAGAATGTAACTTTGGACACAACTGCGTTTCCCACCTCCCTCCCTCAAATTGTCCCCCTACTTACCTCAATCACGGTGTTTTCAGTTTAATGCGGCTGTTGTGCTCTCAGGGATCTGATGGAACAAGGACTCCCAGAGCACTCCGGCTCCCTGCAGTTGTAGCCCTTTGTGAATTTCTCCAACCCAATCGATAAATAAACTTTGACTAGACTTGATTTATCTGACACCCATCTTTTAGATCACCTCGGGGTCCCATGGCATAGAGTAGACGAATTATACATAACATTGGATCCAACGCGATTGGGTAGCCCTGAAACACGTTGTTTATATCCCTTTGATCTCTTGTGAATGGAAAATTAAACTATGACCAGGCTTGACTTAGATATGTGGCTCCCATCCTTTAGCTTGCCCTGACGGAGAGTAGTCTGTTTATACATAGATTTATATCCAACGCATTTCCCAACAATGAATCACGTTCGACCTGGAGGTGAAATAGCCTGATAATATTCGATTTTGCCTCTATTTGCACAGAACGAGTGTACATGCTGGCTGACTAGCTCTGCAAATAACAAGTTCAGACCTTTGCGTGTCGGGAACGCGCACAAAACTGCGCGCTTTCCCCCCGACACACGCTGCACTTTAGCAGGCGCATGACGGTGCCATTGATAATGGTACCCCCACTGATCTGCAAACATGCGCACCAAATTGCACAGTGGGCATTTTTGGAAGAGTCAGGAACCATTGAAATGAATAGGCTGCCCTATACACAACGCGTGGCGACGCGCCCACACTTGGTTGCACCTGTGGGTGTGCATCAGGCCTAACCCCTGGATCACATCTGTGCGGGTGGTGCCGCTGCGGGACCCGCACAAATACCTGCACCCACACAGAGGAATGCGGGACCCGCAGGCGGCTGCCATTAATTCTAATGGCACGCTGCCTACACTGGAAATCGCAACCATACTGGGAACCTCAATGCCCGTGCGGACTGCAGTTTCCAAAGTAGTGCAGTGACTTATTCCCTGCCTGTCAAAGGAATGGGTTCTCGTGCCCGCGCAAATCGTGGCCCGCATGATCGCACAGATGTGAGCCAGGGCTAATGGCCGGGTTACACAATAGAAACACAGTCCAGATGCATTCCGGATGCGTTTTCTGCATGCGTGTTTTTGATGCGTTCCAGTCCAGTTTCTTCAATTTAAATAGGGACATGTGTTCTAGTGCATTTTTGGTGCGTTCCGGTGCGTTTTTGATGTTTTACCGCGTTTTTGATGCGTTTCTGCATGCGCGTTTTTGATGCATTCCTGTGTGGTTTTTATGCGTTTTTTTTTATACATTCCAGTTTATTTTTCCCCCCTCTTTCTTCAATTTAAATAGGGACACATGCGTTCCAGTGCGTTTTTGGTGCATTCCGGTGTGTTTTTGATGCGTTTTACTGCGTTCTAGTACAGTTCTGTGCAGAAAAAAAATGCCCACGCAAATTGCAGCCCGCACGGCCGCACAGATGTGAACCAGGGCTAAGGGCCGGGTCACACCATGGAAACACTCCATTCCGGATGCGTTACTGCATGTGCATTTTTGATGCGTTCCAGTGCCTTTTTGACATGTTCTGGTGCGTTTTTTATGCATTCCAGTTCATATTCTTCCCTATCTTTTTCTTCAATTTAAATAGGGACACGTGCGTTTCAGTGCGTTCTGGTGCGCTTTTGATATGTTTTACCACGTTTTTGATGCGTTTCTGCGTGCACCTTTTTTATGCATTCCTGTACGTTTTTTATGCGTTTTTGAAGCGTTCCAGTCAGGGGTGGACTGACAACTCATGGGACCCCCGGTCAATAGGGGATCATGGGGCCCCTGTGTCCTTGCCCAAACTCACAAAAGCCTATGAAAAAGGTACCAGGGGCATCTCATGGGGCCCCCTACTGACCCCGGGCCCTCGGGCAGTGGCCGAGTTTCCAAATGGTCAGTCCACCCCTGGTTCCAGTGCGTTTTTTATGCATTCCCGTTCATTTTTCCCCCTCTCTTTTTCTTCAATTTAAATAGGGACACGTGCGTTTTTGGTGCGTTCCGGTGTGTTTTTGACGTGTTTTGTTCCAGTACAGTTCTGTGCAGAAAAAAATGCCGCCCATTCTACTTTTTTTTCTGCAACCGAAACAGAACTGGAACTGCGAGCGCGGACGTGAACTATGACACTGACCACCCTATCACCTACTTTCTGTGCGTTTTGGATGCGGGAAAAAAAAGCAACTGAAACGCATGGAGTGTGAACCGGCCCTAAAGGGGAAAAGATGGACTGCTACCCTTTGCAGATGCGATTTTTTATATATATTTTTTTTTATATCCCCAGTCGCTGTCACCGCCGTCACGGTTGCTTCTCTTGATGTTCCGTCAGCCTGTCTCTGGCAATCTCGCGGGCCCGTCTCTGCGATGTGCAGCGGCACGCCGCTCTGTTTGTACGGTCGTGCGACTTAAAAGACAATTTAGTTAATAGCGTTTACCTAACCTGGGCTGATTTTTTTTTTTTTCCGTGCGAGGAACCCCGACGCCGGCTGAATGCAGATGAGGAGGGGAAGACAATACGCCTCTTTGATGGTGATTTAAGAGGTCCCCTGCTATTTATTACCGACAGATTGGAGCCGGCCTCTCCTGAGCTCCTTCTGTAGATTTATGGCGGCGGATCTCTCCACGCCTGGCGTAGGTGACGGGAGCGCGTCCGCTGTTTACACCAAACCGGCGAGATCTTTATTTCTCGCTCCTAAATCAAAACGGCGGTGGAAGCCTGAGGATTTCATACCGGGACCGCGCTTGGGGGTTTCTGTAAAGAAAAAAAGAAATGCGTCGGCGTCTTAAAGAGGACCTGCGTTTGAAAGCCGATCCACATCGTGGTTGTAAATGGGCCCCTTTATCATTTTCCCTATTAGGCTGGGTTCACATTCTTGCCATGTCGGGAATGTGCGCCAAATCACTCAAACGCGCCACAATTCAGCAGCTGAGCCAATAAATGTGCGTTTTGACTCGGCCCATTTTTGGGGGGAAAAGAGTCAGGGACTCCGTTTCCATGTTTCCCACGCGTAGGGCAGGCCATTGAAATGAATGGGTGTAACCAGGGGCGGACTGACAACTCATGGGGCCCCCGGGCAATAGGGGATCATGGGGCTCCTGTGTCCTTGCCAGGGGTGGACTGACAACTCATGGGGTCCCCGGGCAATAGGGGATCATGGGGCCCCTGTGTCCTTGCCAGGGGCAGACTGACAACTCATGGGGTCCACGGGCAATAGGGGATCATGGGGCCCGTGTCCTTGCAAGGGGCGGACTGACAACTCATGGGTCCCCAGGCAATAGGGGATCATGGGGCCCCTGTGTCCTTGCCAGGGGCAGACTGACAACTCATGGGGCCCCCGGGCAATAGGGAATCATGGGGCCCCTGTGCTCTTGCCAGAGGTGGACTGACAAATCATGGGGCCCCCGGGCAATAGGGGATCATGGGGCCCCTGTGTCCTCGCCCACACTCAAACCACACCCAAAAAAGCCTATGAAAGGTACCAGGGGCATCTCATGGGGCCCCCTACTGACCCCGGGCCCTCGGGCAGTGCCCGAGTTCCCAAATGGTTAGTCCGCCCCTGCACGGCCTCCTATGTAAAACACACCCAGCACACAGTTAACCCTTTGATCACCCCTCATGTTAACCCCTTTCCTGCCCAGTGCTATTAGTACAGTGTCAGTGCTTTTTTGTAGCACTGATCACTATATTGGTGTCACTGGGAATGTCAGTGACACCAAGTCAGTTCCCCCCAGTGTCAGAATTACTAGTAAAAATTCAACCAGGGGCGAACTGACAACTCATGGGGCCCCCCAGGCAATAGGTGATCATGAGGCCCCTGTGTCCTCGCCCACACTCAAACCACACCCACAAAAGCCTATGAAAGGTACCAGGGGCATCTCATGGGGCCCCCTACTGACCCTGGGCCCTCGAACAGTGCCCAAGTACCCAAATGGTCAGTCCACCCCCGTGCGTAACTCGCCCCTCACCGAGCCTTAAGAGCCCATTCACAGCAATGTGTACATACCTGGGAACTTTTGTTAATCAGAATTGAGATGGGGGCAGAGTAAGGGGAGGGATCTACAGCGGCGAGTGCAGCCAAAACATATTTAATGGTTGCGGGACGCACCAAAAGAAGCTCAGAGGTTGTGGCCCACCACAGCGCATGGACAGGTGATGCAAAATACGGGGCTAATGCAGGCCATAGACGGTTTGTTTATCCGCCGATTTTTCGGGCGAAAAACTAAACATTGTTCGTTCTGTAAACTGATGTTGCCACCAATGATTGCGAAAATCGGCCGTTTTTCACAAATTTTCCAGCATGACCAATAAACGAAATGAGGAGGAACCACGGAAATCAGTCAATGCCGTTGCCCCACTAACAGTGCGAAAATCAGCCGATTATTCTTTCGGACAAAAAATCATCCAATAAACGAACCGTCTATGGTTTGCATAAGAGTTGGGAAGGAAAAAATGTACCGGGGTTCTGGGAAGGAATAAAAATTCGGCTGCATTGGGGGTGTCACTGGAAGGAATTAAAAGGGCGCTGTCTCGGTGTTAGTAGGAGGAAGGAAAATGATCCCCAATTTCCACACTTTCTGCTTTGCTTCATTTTACGTGCCCATGTGACCTGCCGCTGCACCAATCCTCTCCACCGGGTCCCCGAGCCAATTGGGGCACACCTGTCAAGGGTAGAAATAGGAGTGGAGGGGGTTAAGTCTTGAGCCGGATAAGAGGGGCAGCAGAGAGCCCGGGGGGTGGCTTCACCAAAATCCAGGCCAGTAATGAACCGGTAACTGAAGTGAAAAGCCACCTGAGATCCAGCAAGCTCCTATATGCCCATGTATATAGGTTAGCTATTGGTCTAAATGGCGCCAGTTCAATTGGGGCGCACCTCTCAAGAGTAGGAGTAAGAGGGGATGGGGGCAAGTCTCGAGCTGAATAGAAGGGGCAACAGAGAGCTCAGGTTTGGCTTCATCCTAAGCATCACAATACTGGAGAACTGAGCCCATCCAAAAATGAGCTGGAAACTGAAGTGAAAAGCCGGCAGAGATCCGGCAAGTTCCTAGGCATGCCCATATACATAGGTTACCTATTGGTCTAAATGGCGCCAGTTCAATTGGGGAGCACCTCTCAAGAGTAGGAGTAAGAGGGGATGGGGGCAAGTCTCGAGCCGAATAGAAGGGGCAGCAGAGAGCTCAGAGTTGGCTTCATCCTAACCATCCCAATGCTGGAGAACTGAGCCCATCCAGTAGTGACCTGGAAACTGAAGTGAAAAGTCGGTATTTCCGGCAGAGATCCGGCAAGTTCCTAGGCTTGCCCATGTCCATAGGTTGCCTATTGGTCTAAATGGCGCCAGTTCGATTGGGACCTACCTTTCAAGAGCAGAAATAGGGGATGGGGTCAAGATTCCAGCAAAGAGGGACAACAGAGAGCCTGGGAGACATCTTACCCCGGTCAGTAGAAAGCCAGAGATCTGAGCCTGTACAGTAATGTTCCAGGAACGGAAGTGAAAAGATGGCATTGCCGACCGACATTTTCTGACCACACCGTGGCAGGTCTCCCCGTGGACTAAGGGGCACCTCCTCCACCCAGGAAGGTTTTCTAACGTCCTAACACACTTCCTGTCCTAGGGTGACAACTGTCCATGGATACGGTACAGTAAGCGAGCGTTGTCACCCTAGGATAGGAAGTGTGTTACCGGCAGGACCATCAGAAAAGCCTGGAAAAAAAAGAAAATGAATGCAGTCGCCACACCTAAGGATTTGCATCTTTAATATATGATGTTGGGGAGGCTTTAGATACATTTTAGGGTCACTTTGGCATCCTTGTGTGATGGTTTTCTCTCTCTTTCCTCGACAGATCCACCAACGGTCACCCTATCTATCCAACCGCAAACCGTGCTGGAGGGCGAAAGGGTCCGCTTTTCCTGTATGGCCACTGCCAATCCAACCATCAAAGGATACAGGTTCGTTTTCAGCCAAATGACTTCCAATGGGAACGTTGCGGGATTTTTTAGATATTTACTAGTCGGTAATAAATATATAAAAATAAATAATTATTATTAAAAAATTATTATATTTAATAATATATATTTTATAAAATAATACAATAATATATATTTAAAAATAAATAATTGTTACAATAATAATAAAAATAAATAATTATTATTAAAAAAAATATTATAGTTAATAATATATTTTATAAAATAATAAAATAATATATTTTTAAAAATAAATAATTGTTATAATAATAAAAATAAATAATTATTATAAAAAAAAATTATTATAGTTAATAATATATTTTATAAAATAATATATTTTTAAAAATAAATAGTTGTTATAATAATAATAAAAATAAATAATTATTATAAAAAAATGATTATAGTTAATAATATATTTTATAAAATAATAAAATAATATATTTTAAAAAAATTAATTGTTATAATATAATAATAATATTAATAATAAAAATATATAGTTATAATTATTATAGTTAATAACATATTTTATAAAATAATAAAATGTTATATTTTATAAAATATTATTACTATAAAAAAAATTATTATAAAAATAAATCAATAAATAATTATTAAAATATAATGCATGTATGGGACGGGACCCCAGTAGAATTTTGTCCATTTTTAGAACAATCGTTTGACTTTCTATGAGTAGATTTAGATGTGCATCTAAATCTTCCTCTCCTCTGAAGCCCGATCCGAGTTCGGATCATACTTCAGAGGCTATTGACAGGCTGTGACCCCATGTTTGCAGACCAAAGTGCCACAGCCGCTTTCATTTGCGACGCCTCCCCGTTTGCTTGAGCGCGTAGCGTTCGGTGGGCTTGCTGCATGTCTGGTAAAATTTTCCGCGGAATATAGAATATAAGAATATAAGAAATATAAAAGAATATAAGAAAAAATAAAATAGTAGAAAATATTAGAATAGAAAAAAAAGAATAGAATAGAAAAGAATAGCACAGAAAAGAATAGAATAAAATAGAAAAGAATAGAAAATAAAAGAATAGAATACAGCAATATAATAGAATAGAAAATAAAGGAATAAAGGAATTGAATATAACAATAGAAGAGAAGAGAATAGGAAATAAAAGAATAGAATAAAAAAAGAAAATAATAGAAAAGAAAATAGAATAAAATAGAAAAGAATAGAAAATAAAAGAATAGAATACAATAGAAAAGAATAGAAAATAAAAGAATAGAATACAATAGAAAATAGTAGAACATAAAAGAATAGAAGAGATTAGGAAAAAATTGAATAGAATCAAAAATAATTGAATAGAAAATAGAATAGAAAACAAAATAATAGAATACAACAGAAGAGAATAGAAAATAAAAGAATAGAACAGATTAGGAAAAAATAGAATAGAATAAAAAATAATTGAAAAGAAAATAGCATAGAATAGAAAACAAAATCATAGAATGCAATAGAAAAGAATAGAAAGCAAAATAATAGAATACAATAGAAGAGAAGAGAATAGAATAGAAAATAAAAGAATAGAATAGATTAGGAAAAAATAGAATAGAATAAAAAGAACGAATATAGCTGTCTTCTGAATTGATTTAAAAATAACGAATATACGACACAAATTCCGAAAACGAATCGTTCTAATGTAACAAATATGACAAATTGAAATTATTAACTTATCGAACGAATCCGAAACGAAACACAGTTCCCCGTCATGCACATCTCTAACCGTGGCTGCAGCATGTCTGTATTGGGTGGAGCCTGCAGGGCCCCTCCCACAGCTCTGCTCTCTGCCCAGGCTATGCTCAGCACGGCGATGATGTCACTGCTACTTTCACAAGGTAATATCTGGGTTTGCGACGTGGGTTCCTATCCTTTGAGGCTGTTGAGGAGTAGATTTCAATCAAAGCGGTTTTGTCTGGAGTTCCCGAGCCGTTTAAAGCTGGGAAAAAAAAAAAATCAATCTTGCTTTCCCGGTTACGATCGCTCGTGGTGGAATTTACAAGTGTAGCGGTGGCAGGCCTGGGCTGTCCATTAAACACCTTATCTGAGGAATTTAATGCCTTTTTATTTTACAACGCTGTTTACTGCCAACTGCTTCTGTTTTACAGTCATGCATATTTAAACCAAACGGGTGTATTAATGTTTTATTTATCGCCGCCTTCAAGTGCGCCTGTTCTCCACTGCGTGTTTGTGTAGTGCGGAGACGGGTGGAGGGGAGGGAGAGGCGTCCTACAGGATTAGCGGCGCGCCGCGCTATAGGATGGCCCCGCTCATAACCTCGACGGTACCGACTGCAAGAGGCCAATTGGCGCTTGTCCGTTCCAAAATGTGCGCCGTGTTTAAAGCGGCATTGCGCAGGCTTACTTAGCACAACGCGCTTTAACGCATGACGCAACGTGCCTTTGATGCAATGCAACGACGCGTGTTAGGCTCCATATACGCCGTGCAGGGGCGATGCTGCGTAGGGCGGGCCATTTATTTCAATGCGTGAGAAATGCAGGAGAGAAGTCCCTGACCCTCTTTCAAAATCACGAAGAGAAGACAAAACTAAAAGAATAGAACAGAATAAAATAGAAGAGAAGAGAAACTAAAAGAAGAAGAATAGATTAAAATAGAAGAGAAACTAAAAGAATAGAATAGATCAAAATAGAAGAGAAGAGATGAGAAACTAAAATAATAGAATAGATTCAAAGAGAACAGAAGAGATGAGAAACTAAAAGAATAGAATAGCTTAAAATAGAAGAAAAGAGAAACTAAAAGAATAGAAAGAGAAGAGAAACTAAAAGAATAGAATAGCTTAAAATAGAAGAGAAGCTAAAAGAATAGAAAAGACTAAAATAGAATAGAAGAAAAAAGAAACTAAAATAATAGAATAGATTAAAATAGAAGAGAAGAGACAAGAATCTAAAAGAATAGAATAGATTAAAATAGAAAAGAAGAGAAACTAATAGAATAGATTCAAAGAGAAGAGAAGCTAAAAGAATAGAATAGATTAAAATAGAAGAGAAGAGAAACTAAAAGAATAGAAAAGACTAAAATAGAATAGAAGAGGAAAGAAACTAAAAAAATAGAATATATTAAAATAGAAAAGAAGAGAAACTAAAAGAATAGAATAGATTAAAATAGAAAAGAAGATAAACTAAAAGAATAGAATAGATTCAAAGAGAAGAGAAGCTAAAAGAATAGAATAGATTAAAATAGAAGAGAAACTAAACGAATAGAATAGATTAAAATAGAAGAGATGCTAAAAGAATAGAATAGATTCAAAGAGAAGAGAAGATAAAAGAATAGAATGGATTAAAATAGAAGAGAAACTAAAAGAATAGAATAGATTCAAAAGAGAAGAGAAGCTAAAAGAATAGAATAGATCAAAAAATAGAAGAGAAGAGATGAGAAACTAAAAGAAAAGAATAGATTAAAATAGAAGAGAAGCTAAAAGAATAGAATAGATTAAAATAGAAGAGAAGAGAAACTAAAAGAATAGAATAGATTCAAAGAGAAGAGAAGCTAAAAGAATAGAAAAGACTAAAATAGAATAGAAGAGAAAATAAACTAAAAGAATAGAATAGATCCAAAGAGAAAAGAAGAGAAACTAAAAAATACAATAGATTAAAATAGAATAGAAGAGAAAAGAAACTAAAAGAATAGAATAGATTAAAATAGAAAGCGACGAGAAACTAAAAGAAAAGAATAGATTCAAAGAGAAGAGAAGCTAAAAGAATAGAATAGATGAAAATAGAAGAGAAGCTAAAAGAATAGAATAGATGAAAATAGAAGAGAAACTAAAAGAATAGAATAGATGAAAATAGAAGAGAAGCTAAAAGAATAGAATAGATGAAAATAGAAGAGAAGCTAAAAGAATAGAATAGATGAAAATAGAAGAGAAGCGATGAGAAACTAAAAGAATAGAATAGATTAAAATAGAAGAAAAGAGAAACTAAAAGAATAGGACAGAAAATAAAGAACTATAAAATAGAATATAGCTTTCTTCCAAAATTTTAATTTCAAAAAGAATAAAATAGAGTAGAAAAAAAAAGAATAGAATACTAGATGGAGCTGACAATCAGAGGAAAGACACATATTGGACACAATATGGGGATTGCTATGCGTGCCTCTATAGGATGCCACGGATTCTGACCACTGCCTTGTTTTCTAGGTGGGCCAAGGGAGGCGTGATCATCGAGGGAGCCAAGGAGAGCACATACGAGGCGCAGGTGGATTACACCTTCTTCACGGAGCCCGTCTCCTGCGAAGTACACAACGAAGTCGGGAGCACCAATGTCAGCACCTTGGTGGATGTCCAGTGTGAGTTTTCCGTATATTATATGCGGGTTCCGCCTTCGTGATTGACATCCGATGAATGAAAGGGGCGGGGCCAGGCTGGGGAGGAAGGTGCTAGATGACGCTGGCTGTCCTCCAGCCAGGAAATGAGGCGGAGCTCTATCTTAAAGGGGCGGGGTCAGGGACGGTCAGGTCAGAGAGGAAAGCACTAGATGATGTTGGCTGTGTGTGTATATAATACAAATAGGCCCTTTTAGGTTTATTGAAAAAAAAAAAGTATATAAATAATGTTATACGTATATAATTTACAACTATAGATATTATACTTCCATCTAGTGGCCAGAATGAGGTATTTTCCTGATTGTGGTATTTTAGGAAGATACAGTGTTGTGTGACCAATAGATAGAGCTGATGATCACAGGAAATAAACACACATATATATATTTATATAGTTTTTTTTGTTTTTTATATATATTTATTTTAATTTCAGTACATATAGCCATCAGGAATAATCTCCATAATTTGCCTGTTTATTACCTATGATCGCTATTTCCATCTAGTGGCCCTAATGAGGTATTTTCCTGGTTTGTGGTACACAATGTGTGTATATATATATATTTATTTATTTTTGTTTTGTTTTTTTCCTTTTATATTTTTTCAAATCTGATTATTACCTATGATCATTATTTCCATCTAGTGGCCCTAATGAGGTATTTTCCTGATTATGGTACACAATGTGTGTATATATATATATATATATATATATATATATATATATAATTTATTTTTTTTTTATTTTTTTTTTATATATTTTTTTTAAATTCAATATGCATATGATTGTTATTTCCATCTAGTGGCCCTAATGCAGTATTTTCCTGATTGCGGTTTCTTAGAAAAATACCACATTATGACCACTAGATGGAGCTGCCGATCACAGGAAAAAAACCACATCAGACAAGGGTGATCTGCTCATTTTGCCAAGGGGATGATGAGTAATGGTAAAATATTTTCCTGATTCCTCGCTCCCGCTGGCTTCCTCCTCTTCTTGAAGCCAGGCTCCTCTCCTCCCTGCCTGAACGGTCGCTGGGTGTCATCTCACACGAGGCAGGAGCGGCAGTTCTGCATTGTACTTGTGGCCCCGCACGTGTCACCCTCTCGATTTGTCCTGGCGATTGTCATCCCTGAGAGTGAAAATAAAATCCAAAATTTTAGGTTGTCACCAGAACGGTCAATAGAGGGAACACTAGTTCTGGGATTCCCTCACTTTGGAGAGATTTCCCCTCACTTCCTGTTGTGTCTATGGGACAGGAAGTAAAGGGAAATCTCCCCAATGAGGACTCAGATGGCAAAAAAAAAAATTTAACCCTCCCTTACTATCCGGGATGAAAAAAAGTTTTTCCTTTAGTTCTACTTTACGGCAAATGGCGGATTAAACACAACAGGAAGGAGACCTTACTCGCAGATCAATTGGTGACCCCCTACGTGTGTCGTCCCTCCTGTTTGAAGCCATTTTGGAAATAAAAGTATGCCGTAAAAGAGGACATTAAACTTTTTTTTTTTCTTTGTCTTTTTTTTTGTCACCAGAACGGTGAATAGCGGGAACACTAGTTCTGGGATTCCCTCACTTTGGAGAGATTTCCCCTCACTTCCTGTTGTGTCTATGGGACAGGAAGTAAAGGGAAATCTCCCCAATGAGGACTCAAATGGCAAAAAAAAAAACGTAACCCTCCCTTACTATCCGGGATGAAAAAAAGTTTTTCCTTTAGTTCTACTTTACCGCAAATGGCGGATTAAACACATCAGGAAGGAGACCTTACTCGCAGATCAATTGGTGGCCCCCTACGTGTGTCGTCCCTCCTGTTTGAAGCCATTTTGGAAATAAAAGTACGCCTTAAAAGAGGACATTAGATTTTTTTTTTTCTTTTTCTTTGTCACCAGAACGGTGAATAGAAGGAACACTAGTTCTGGGATTCCCTCACTTTGGAGAGATTTCCCCTCACTTCCTGTTGTGTCTATGGGACAGGAAGTAAAGGGAAATCTCCCCAATGAGGACTCAGATGGCAAAAAAAAAAAATGTAACCCTCCCTTACTATCCGGGATGAAAAAAAGTTTTTCCTTTAGTTCTACTTTACGGCAAATGGCGGATTAAACACAACAGGAAGGAGACCTTCCTCGCAGATCAATCGATGGCCCCCTACGTGTGTCGTCCCTCCTGTTTGAAGCCATTTTGGAAATAAAAGTATGCCTTAAAAGAGGACATTGGAATTTTTTTCTTTTTTTTTTCTTTTTCTTTTTCTTTTTTTTTTGAGTTCTTAACGTGAAAAAAAAAAAATTCTGCTAGATTAGAAAACACATTCCTTATTCTTTTGAAGACGGTGAGGGAATCCATGTCTCTAGTGATCGGCTTTTGATATAGAACGTATTTTCTCGCCTCGGTAATATAGTGGGGCATGAATAAGTAATGCTCAATACCCCTGACGTGGAACGGGGAATTTCTATTTTAAGAGCCGGCACTCGCCCCAGCCTCTCTTCCACTTGATGTCAGTGCCTGGGGGAATCCTACTAATGAGGCATCTCCTCTCTACAGTCGCCCCGCGTATTGTGGTCGAGCCCAAGCCTACCGTGACGGATATCGGCTCCGACGCCACGCTGACCTGTTTTTGGACCGGAAACCCTCCTCTGACCTTGACGTGGTCCAAGAAAGGAACGGATGGGGTGAGTTAGACCTTTCAACTTTATCTACTAGGGCTTCAGTCATGGTAGGGCCACCAGAAAGAGGTTCTTCCATGGTGCAAAGTATGGCCAGCCTCATAGAACCCCGCACAGGCACGGTGCCACAATTTTTGTTCAGTGGTTGGGATTTTGTTTCAGATTGATTAAAAAAAAAAATCTAACATTGGAGGTTCCATATCTTGACGTGAAAGTAAGTCCTCCTCGGGGATGTCTTAACCACTTCCAGTCCGGACACTTTCACCCCCAGGGGCGGACTGACCATTTGGAAACTCAGGCACTGCCCGAGGGCCCCATGAGATGCCCCTGGTACCTTTTTCATAGGCTTTTTTGAGTTTGGGCAAGGACACAGGGGCCCCATGATCAACTATTGCCCTTTTTTTTGTAAACGAGGATAATCAGGAACTCATTCCAACATCATCCCATGTATGGGGTCGGGAGGGTGGACGTTTCGTAGGAGATAGGAGCCTTCCAAGTATTGATACCCATAAAGTCCTGTTTTCTAAACAAGTATGTTTGTAGCACACGGTGCCACCATACCTCGCATTTCTTAACCAGGGTTTCCCCTTAGGTCGCTAGGGGTTCCGTAAGAAACTAGCAATTTCTGCTTCTCGGATATTTACGCAATCCTCCCAATGACCACAAATGTACAGTGGACCTTCTCCTACTGAACACGAATGTAAAGAGGACCTTCCCTTATGACCAGAAATGTATGGTGTACCTCGTCTTACTGACCACTAATGTAAGGTGGACCTCCTCTTACTGACCACTAATGTAAGGTGGACCTCCTCTTACTGACCACTAATGTAAGGTGGACCTCCTCTGAATAACCACTAATGTAAGGTGGACCTCCTCTGAATGACCACTACCACTAATGTAAGGTGGGCCTTCTCTTACTGACTACCCATATAACAGTGTCCTCCTCCTAGTGACCATTGAATTACGGTGGACATGCTCCTATTACCCACCAGTGTAAGAGAACCCTTCTGTCAATGACCATCAATGTAAGGTGGACCTTCTCCCAATGACCACAAATGTACAGTAGACAGTCTCCTACTGAACACGAATGTAAAGAGGACCTTCAATAATGACCAGAAATGTAAGGTGGACCTCCTCTTACTGACCACTAATGTAAGGTGGACCTCCTCTGAATGACCACTAATGTAAGGTGGGCCTTCTCCTACTGACTACCCATATAAGAGGGTCCTTCTCCTAGTGACCATTGAATTAAGGTGGACATGCTCCTATTAACCACCAGTGTAAAAGAGCCCTTCTGTAAATGACCATCAATGTAAGGTGGACCTTCTCTTATTGACCACTAAAGTAAGGTGGACTTTCTCCCAATGACCACAAATGTACAGTAGACCTTCTCCTACTGAACAAGAATGTAAAGAGGACCTTCAATAATGACCAGAAATGTAAGGTGGACCTCCTCTTACTGACCACTAATGTAAGGTGGACCTCCTCTGAATGACCACTAATGTAAGGTGGGCCTTCTCCTACTGACTACCCATATAAGAGGGTCCTTCTCCTAGTGACCATTGAATTAAGGTGGACATTCTCCTTTTAACCACCAGTGTAAGAGCTCTTCTGCCAATGACCATCAATGTAAGGTGGACCTTCTCCTATTGAGCACTAATGTAAGGTGGACCTTCTCCCAATGACCACAAATGTACAGTAGACAGTCTCTTACTGAACACGAATGTAAAGAGGACCTTCACTAATGACCAGAAATGTAAGGTGGACCTCCTCTTACTGACCACTAATGTAAGGCGGACCTCCTCTGAATGATCACTAATGTAAGGTGGACCTCCTCTGAATGATCACTAATGTAAGGTGGGCCTTCTCTTAATAACTACCCATATAAGAGGGTCCTTCTCCTAGTGACCATTGAATTAAGGTGGATATTCACCTTTTAACCACCAGTGTAAGAGAGTCGTTCTGCTAATGACCATCAATGTAAGGTGGACCTTCTCCTATTAACCACTAATGTAAGGTGGACCTTCTCCCAATGACCACAAATGTACACTAGACCTTCTCCCACTGAACACGAATGTAAATAGGACCTTCCCTAATGACCAGAAATGTAAGGTGTACCTCCTCTTACTGACCACTAATGTAAGGTGGACCTCCTCTGAATAACCACTAATGTAAGGTGGACCTCCTCTGAATGACCACTACCACTATTTTAAGGTGGCCCTTCTCCTACTGACTACCCATATAACAGTGTCCTTCTCCTAGTGATCATTGATTTAAGGTGGACATGCTCCTTTTAACCAGCAGTGTAAGAGAACCCTTCTGCCAATGACCATCAATGTAAGGTGGACCTTCTCCTACTGACTACCCATATACCAGTGTCCTTTTCCTAGTGATCATTGATTTAAGGTGGACATGCTCCTATTAACCACCAGTGCAAGAGAGCCCTTCTGCCAATACCCATCAATGTAAGGTGGACCTTCTCCTATTGACCACTAATGTAAGGTGGACCTTCTCCCAATGACCACAAATGTACAGTAGACAGTCTCCTACTGAACACAAATGTAAAGAGGACCTTCACTAATGACCAGAAATGTAAGGTGGACCTCCTCTTACTGACCACTAATGTAAGGTGGACCTCCTCTTACTGACCACTAATGTAAGGTGGGCCTTCTCCTACTGACTACCCATGTAAGAGGGTCCTTCTCCTAGTGACCATTGAATTCAGGTGGACATGCTCCTATTAGCCACTAGTGTAAAAGAGTCCTTCTGCCAATGACCATCAATGTAAGGTGGACCTTACACTATATGACCCCTACCCTCCTTACACACTATTGGCTGGCTCCATACTGTCTACAGTCCCCCCCATGTTTCTGTTTCATTGTATCCTTGGTAGGAAAGGATTGAAGTAGCTACAGTAACACTGAATTTGTAGACAATGCCGACCGAAATATTGACTCTCGGAAAACCACTCAGCATTTTTATATTTGTAGACACTGCTGAGAAAAACTTAGATTTCGCACCAAAATGACTGACCATCAGAGGATCTGAGTGAACCAAGTTGGAAAATGCTCAGTAGTTTTCTAACAGCTGCTGCAGCAAACCCATTTGAAATATTAGGTCCTCAAGCAACCGGCAGCTTGCAACATGTTCTTGTGTATTGTTTGCATTTATTTTTAATGAGACGCGTACATCAATTTTCAGTCGCGGGAAAAAAAAAAGAGGTCAGCATCCAGCCGCATCTTCAATAAAACCTTTGGAGTTTCATTAAGTTCGACAAAGTAGGAGCTGGGTTTTTTTTTTTTTGTATCTGGAATGCCTCGAGTTATGTTTGCGTTGAACTTAATAAACTCGTCCCGGAGAAACGGCTAGATGATGAGCTTTTTTTTGACAGTGACTACATGTGATGGAAGGCTGGTCCACAAATTGCTGTTGGAGGAATTTCAAGAGCATGAGTTTTCTGGGGTTGGAGCTGGATTATCCACAGTGCAACCTAGGCAAAAGGCTAAGGCCTGGTGGATGTCCTACCATAAAACAATGGAGGACGTAGAGTGGGGCAAAAAAGTATTTAGTCACCACCAATTGTAAAAGTTCTCCCACTTACAAAGATGACAGAGGCCTGTAATTGGCATCATAGGTAGACCTCAACTATGAGAGACAAAATGAGAAAACAAATCCAGACAATCACATTGGCTGATTTGGAAAGAATTTATTTGCAAATTATGGTGGAAAATAAGTATTTGGTCACCTACAAACAAGCAAGATTTCTGGCTCTCACAGACCTGTACCTTCTTCTTTAAGAGGCTCCTCTGTCCTGCACTCATTACCTGTATCAATGGCACCTGTTTGAACTTGTTATCAGTATAAAAGACACCTGTCCACAACCTCAAACAGTCACACTCCAAACTCCACTATGGTGAAGACCAAAGAGCTGTCGAAGGACACCAGAAACAAAATTGTAGACCTGCACCAGGCTGGGAAGACTGAATCTGCAATAGGCAAGCAGCTTGGTGTGAACAAATCAACTGTGGGAGCAATAATTAGAAAATGGAAGACATACAAGACCACTGATAATCTCCCTCCATCTGGGGCTCCAGGCAAGATCTCACCCCGTGGGGTCAAAATGATCACAAGAACGGTGAGCAAAAATCCCAGGACCACACGGGGGGGACCTAGTGAATGACCTGCAGAGAGCTGGGACCAACGTAACAAAGGCTACCATCAGTAACACACTACGCCGCCAGGGACTCAGATCCTGCAGTGCCAGACGTGTCCCCCTGCTTAAGCCAGTACATGTCCGGGGCCCGTCTGAAGTTTGCTAGAGAGCATTTGGGTGATCCAGAAGAGGATTGGGAGAATGTCATATGGTCAGATGAAACCAAAATAGAACTGTTTGGTAGAAACACAACTCGTCGTGTTTAGAGGAGAGAGAATGCTGAGTTGCATCCAAAGAACACCATACCTACTGTGAAGCATGGGGGTGGCAACATCATGCTTTGGGGCTGTTTCTCCGCAAAGGGACCAGGATGACTGATCCATGTACAGGACAGAATGAATGGGGCCACGTATCGTGAGATTTTGAGTGCAAACCTCCTTCCATCAGCAAGGGCATTGAAGATGAAACGTGGCTGGGTCTTCCAACATGACAATGATCCCAAACATACCGCCCGGGCAACGAAGGAGTGGCTTCGTAAGAAGCATTTCAAGGTCCTGGAGTGGCCTAGCCAGTCTCCAGATCTCAACCCCATAGAAAACCTTTGGAGGGAGTTGAAAGTTCGTGTTGCCCAGCGACAGCCCCAAAACATCACTGCTCTAGAGGAGATCTGCATGGAGGATGGGCCAACATACCAGCAACAGTGTGTCGAGTCCCCCGTGCCAACCTTGTGAAGACTTCCAGGAAACGTCTGACCTCTGTCATTGCCAACAAAGGATATATAACAAAGTATTGACATGAACTTTTGATATTCACCAAATACTTATTTTCCACCATAATTTGCAAATAAATTCTTTCCAGATCAGCCAATGTGATTGTCTGGATTTGTTTTCTCATTTTGTCTCTCATAGTTGAGGTCTACCTATGATGCCAATTACAGGCCTCTCTCATCTTTGTAAGTGGGAGAACTTGTACAATTGGTGGTGACTAAATACTTTTTTGCCCCACTGTAGAGTGGAGGCAGTTGGTATTTGGTGGATCCGTGACAGGGCCATTCCAACGTAGGCCATACATGGGCACCACCAACAGGCCTTGCTGCCCGTTTTTACGTTAGTATGTCCCCGTTATCACAGGGGAGCCACCTCTTTAGCACTCATCCAGCTTCATGTCCCACACTCTACCCCACGTGCTCCCGGCTGGACTGGTTAACCACTTCTCAAATGGACTACAAGTAAGAACGGAGAGGAGTCCATTTACAACAACTTGACTTTCCAACGTCAAGGTGGGCAACGACCGGGCATACGTAATACAGACATTGTGAGCTCAACGCATCCAATTCCATTAGGTTACATATCAGCTTAGAGAATTGTAGGTTCCATCCACAGGCAGACTGACAACTCATGGGGCCCCCGGGTAATAGGGGATCATGGGGCCCCTGTGTCCTTGCCCAAACTCAAAAAAGCCTATGAAAAAGGTACCAGGGGCATCTCATGGGGCCCCCTACTGACCCCGGGTCCTCAGGCAGTGCCCGAGTTTCCAAATGGTCAGTCCGCCCCTGGTTCCATCTTTAGCTTCTTACCCCGAAGGTTGACTGTGGTCCTCACTTTTCCCAGTAAGGTCTTCTCCTTGCCCTGTCCCTCACCCCAGTCCTTCTCAGGGTGTCAGGACGTCTCCAGGTATTGCCCAGGCAGATATTGGAAGGTTACAGGTTGCAGGAAGGGCCAAGTCCCATGGAGGCCAACTACAGAGTTGAGCTCATACCTCCTTTCACTCTCCATCCAAACTCCTCCCACCCTGTAACTCACTCGCTATGTATTTCCTAACACCCCCTTACAAGTATAGACCATAGATATCCAACATTTCTAAACAAAGAGTCCTTCAGATATTAGGGTGGGCAGACTGAAAACAATGCCCCATCTGCGGTATTAGGAGGAGAAATCGTGGCCATTGTTGGTGTCAGTTGGGGGAATAGTGCCTGATTGCTGATGTAGTTTCTCATCATTGGTATTAGTGGAAGGAATAGTGTCCTTTCATTGGTGTCAGTGGGAGGAATAGTGCCCCATCATTGGTGTCAGTGGGAGGAATAGTGCCCCATCATTGGTATTAGTGGGAGGAATAGTGCCTCATCATTGGTGTCAGTGGGGGAATAGTGCCCTATCAGTGGTGTTAGTGGAAGGAATAGTGTCCCATCATTGGTGTCAGTGGGAGGAATAGTGCCCCATCATTGGTGTCAGTGGGAGTTATAGTGCCCCATCATTGGTGTCAGTGGGAGGAATAGTGTTTTTTCGTTGGTGTCAGTGGGAGGAATAGTGCCCCATCATTGGTGTCAGTGGGAGGAATAGTGCCTCATCATTGGTGTCAGTGGGGGAATAGTGCCCTATCAGTGGTGTTAGTGGAAGGAATAGTGCCCCATCAGTGGTGTTAGTGGAAGGAATAGTGTCCCATCATTGGTATCAGAAGGAGGAATAGTGCCCCATCATTGGTGTCAGTGGGAGAAATAGTGTCCCATCATTGGTATCAGTGGGAGGAATAGTGCCCCATCATTGGTATCAGTGGGAGGAATAGTGCCCCATCGTTGGTATCAGTGGAAAGAATAGTGGCCCATCATTGGTGTCAGTGGGAGGAATAGTGCCCTATCATTGGTGTCATTGGGAGGAATAGTGCCCCATCATTGGTGTCAGTGGGGGGAATAGTGCCCCATCATTGGTATCAGTGGGAGGAATAGTGCCCATCATTGGTATCAGTGGGAGGAATAGTGCCCCATCATTGGTGTCAGTGGGAGGAATAGTGCCCCATCATTGGTATCAGTGGGAGGAATAGTGCCCCATCATTGGTGTCAGTGGGGGGAATAGTGCCCCATCATTGGTGTCAGTGGGGGGAATAGTTCCCCATCATTGGTGTCAGTGGGGGGAATAGTGCCCCATCATTGGTGTCAGTGGGAGGAATAGTGTCCCATCATTGGTATCAGTGGGAGGAATAGTGTCCCATCATTGGTATCAGTGGGAGGAATAGTGCCCCATCATTGGTGTCAGTGGGGGGAATAGTGCCCCATCATTGGTGTCAGTGGGGGGAATAGTTCCCCATCATTGGTGTCAGTGGGGGGAATAGTGCCCCATCATTGGTGTCAGTGGGGGGAATAGTGCCCCATCATTGGTGTCAGTGGGGGGAATAGTGCCCCATCATTGGTATAAGTGGGAGGAATAGAGCCCCATTTTTGGTGTCAGTGAACAGAATAGTGGCCCATCGTTGGCGTCAGTGGCCTCAAGGGCCAGATAAAGGTAAGCAAAGGGCCACGGTTTGGAGACCACTGGCACAGACAATGGAAATGGGATGTCTTTCCTGTGCCCATTGCAAACCTTACCAATTTCAATCACAGGGGTGAGGTGGGGTGCAAAAGCTGCTACCTTGTCCAGGGCCCCATTCTGTGGAAATGTAAACCCCCAACTGAGGGAAAGCAGCAGGCTATTCCTCCATAGACTTGTAGTCTCCATGTGACCTTGTGACAACGCAGGAGCACAGTCAGTAGATGGGGACAGACCGTTGTCACCCTATCACAGGAAGTGCCCAAAGCAAGGACCACCATGGCAGGATTGCCAGGGATTCTTTTAACCGAAGCCACAGATCTGCAAATTCTAGAATCGAATATATTCGATTCGATGTACGTCATTCGTTCTGTTGGGAGTTGACTCTTTTTTCTTTGCTCCTTGTCTGCAGGTGTTAAGTAACAGCAACCAGCTCTTTCTGAAGTCTGTACGTCAGGAGGACGCCGGGCAGTATATATGCAAGGCCATCGTCCCGCGTATCGGCGTGGGGGAGAGGGAGGTGACGCTCATCGTCAACGGTGAGTTCCACTAACAACTGATGTCGTCACTGGGTCTCTGTGCTTGTCTATGCAATGCAGGCAGATCGCGGCTGGTGGGAGGGGCTAGTGGGTGTTGTACGTGACTTCCTGGAAACAAAACATCACAGCACTCCTTTCAAGATCCTTCTGTCCTGATGAAACCAGTGGGAGGAGTTATTCAAAAATGCCTTGATGACTGAGTGCCAGTCTGGAGGAGGTGGGCGTTCCTAAGTGGGCTGGATTTACATAGGTAACGCCCACATGCTCTGCTTTAAGTACTGAAATCCAACGAATGAAAGAGGCGTCCTCCAGCCAGGAAAAGGGGCGGAGCTCTATCTGACTGGCTGCAGCTTCTATCGCACGTTGTGAGAAGCTCGCAGCGTGCGATGAAATCAGAGTAAGTCATCGGTCACACCACCGCGATTTAAAATGGCGCGATTTGATTACTTTATTGCGACTTGAAAGTTGAAATCGCACCTGAAATCGCATCTAACGAATGTAAATGTCAATGTCTTAATATGCGATTTGCTGCGGCGCAATTTCTAAAGTAGCTCTGGCATGACTTTTTCTGCGGTTTTCTTGCGATTTCACATTCATAGAATACAATGGAAATCGCTCTGCAAATGGCAGGAAATTGTCAAAAGTCTTCAAGTCGCAATAAGTCTTCAGAAAACGCGCTGAAATTGCAAGAAATCGTTGCAAATTTTCACAAGTAGCAATAAACTCTTAAAAAATTGCAGCTGAAATCTCGCTGAAATTGCATACAAAACGCGCGATTTTAGATCGCACCGGTGTGACCGGTGACTAAGTACCCTGTCATACGAGTGCGATTTGGGCGCTGAAATCGCACCTGAAATTGCATCTAATGAATGTGAATGTCAGTGTCTTAACCCGTGCGATTTGCTGCAGTGCAATTTCTAGAGTAGTTCTTGTAGGACTTTTTCTGCAGTTTTGCTGCGATTTCACATACATAGAATATAATTGAAATCGCACTGCAAATCGCAAGAAATCGTTGCAAATTTTCACAAGTAGCGATAAAGTCTTCAAAAATTGCACCTGAAATCGCGCTGAATTTGCACACAAAACGTGCAATTTTAGATCGCAGCAGTGTGACCGGTGACTAAGTACGTGGTCATACGGGTGCGATTTGGGAGTTGAAATCGCACCTGAAATTGCATATAATGAATGTGAATGTCGGTGTCTTAACGTGCGATTTGCTGCAGTGCAATTTCTAGAGTAGTTCTTACAGTATATGACTTTTTCTGCAGTTTTGTTGCAATTTCTCATACATAGAATATAACGGAAATTGCACTACGAATCGCAAGAAATCGTTGCAAATTTTCACAAGTAGCAATAAAATCTTTAAAAATCGCAGCTGAAATCTCACTGAAATTGCACACAAAACGTGCGAATTTAAATTGCAGCGGTGTGACCGCTGACTAAGTACCTGGTTATACGGGTGCAATTTGGGAGTTGAAATCGCAGCTGAAATCGCATCTAATGAATGTGAATGTCGGTGTCTTAACATGTGTGATTGGCTGCGGTGCGATTTCTAGAGTAGCTCTGGCATGACTTTTTCTGCAGTTGTGTTGCGATTTTACATACATAGAATATAATGGAAATCGCACCACAAACTGCAAGAAATCGTTGCAAATTTTCACAAGTATCAATAAAGTCTTCAAAAATTGCACGCAAAACGTGCGATTTTAGATCGCAGCGGTGTGACCGGTGACTTAGTGCCTGGTCATACAGGTGCGATTTGGGAGTTGAAATCACACCTGAAATCGCAACAAAACTGCAGAAAAAGTCATGCCAGAGCTACTTTAGAAATCGCACCGCAGCAAATCGCACGGGTTAAGACACTGATATTCATAATTATTAGAAGTGATTTCAGGTGCGATTTCAATTCGCAAATCGCACTGGTGACCAGGCACTAAGTTACCAGTCACACCGCTGCGATTTTAAAATCGCAGGATTTGCATGCAATTTCAGTGCGATTTCTGAAGACTTTATTGCTACTTATGAAGATTTTTAGCGATTTCTTGCCATTTGCAGTGCGGTTTCCATTATATTCTATGTATGTGAAATCGCAGCAAAACTGCAGAAAAAGTCATGCCAGAGCTACTTCAGAAATCGCACCGCAGCAAATCGCATGTGTTAAGACGCTGACATCCACATTCGTTAGATGCAATTTAAATTTCACAAATCGTGCCTGAAATCGCAGCAGTGTGACCGTGCACTAAGTCACCGGTCACACCGCTGCGATTTAAAATCGCACGATTTGTGTGCAATTTCAGCGCAATTTCTGATGACATCCACATTCGTTAGATGCGATTTCAATTCGCAAATTGTACCTGAAATCGCAGCGGTGTGACCCAGGGCTAAGTTGTCTCTTTGTTTAAAATGCAACAAAAAAGGCGTCTAAAACGCAACAAGAAAACGCATCTAGAACGCAACAAAAAGGCATCTAAACCGTAACAAAAAAAGTGTCTTAAACGCAACAAAAAAAGTGTCTTAAACGCAACAAAAAAAGTGTCTTAAACGCAACAAAAAAGGCGTCTTAAACGCAACAAAAAAAGTGTCTTAAACGCAACAAAAAAGGCGTCTAAAACACAACAAAAAAAAGCGTCTAAAACGTAACAAAAAAAGCGTCTAAAACACAACAAAAAAAGGCGTCTAAAACATAACAAAGGCGTCTAAAACGTAACAAAGGCATCTAAAAGGCAACAAAAAAAGGCGTCTAAAACGTAACAAAAAAAGGCGTCTAAAACGCAACAAAAAGGGCGTTTAGACGCAACAAAAAAGGCGTCTAAAATGCAACAAAAAAAGGTATCTAAAATGCAACAAAAAAGGCGTCCAAAACGCAACAAGAAAAGGCATCTAAAACGCAACAAAAAGGCGTCTAAATCATAACAAAAAAGGCGTCTAAAATGCAACAAAAAAAGCATCTAAAACGCAACAAAAACGCATGCAAAACTTGCGTTTTAGATGCGGTTCCATTGAAGTCTATTGTCCAAAAAAACTGCAAACCGCAGCGCGAAAAGAAGTCCCTGACCCTTTCTAAAAAACACGCCCGCAAAAACCTCACAGACGTGAACGTGATCCATAGAAAATAATGTTAAATGCCATGCGCTGCATTCCCGCAAAATGCATTGAAAAAACGCAGATATGTGAACCAGGCGCAAGAGAAGACTTGGATCTGCTTCCAGAGACGACTTACCCGGGAGCAGAGGAAGGAGCAGCTGGCTAGACTTTCTATGTAAATCACCGTTTGCTGGCGTCTCCGATTGCTAACGAAATCGCATCTCTCGCTGGAATTTATTAATCAATAGAGATTTTACTCACTCGCTGCTTAAAGGATTATGAATGGGTGAATAAAATCTATTTTACGGCGCCGATATTTTTTTATGACTTTTTTTCTTTTTATCCTCCATAATATATGAGCTCTCGTGACCGTGCGGCGAATGGAGATACATGGCGGCTGCGTTTCATCGTCTTTCCGAGGTGTTTAGCTGCGACACAAAGCGTCGGCGCCGGGGATTAAAGGGGCAGGCCATCTTTTTTTATCTACAACCATCTTTTGTCTACAGCCCTTCAAAGTCCAGAATTTATACAGCTTGTATGAGCTTTCAGAAAGCAGGGGGCAGGGAGCTGAAGTTACACTATGCAGAACTCAGAAGAGCTCTTAGAGCTGACAGGAGGGAAGGGACACACCTCCCCTTCACACAGCACACAGGAAGAGAGATAAGGCTGTCAATCACAGACTGTGCGCTGGAGCTCCCTCCCCTGTCACATTTTTTCTTTTGGTGTCAGGAAACCTTTTCAGAGGTGACTGCAGACATGCTACAGGAGATGGTCAGAGACTGCAGACCTACTACAGGACTTTCTCCAAATGACCACCAACGTAAGGTGAACCTTCTACTATGCACCAAAGTAAGAGGGCTCTTCTTCCATTGACCACCAATGTAAGGTGAACCTTCTCCTACTGACCAGCAATGTAAGAAGGTCTTTCTCCAAATGACCACCAAAGTAAGGTGGACCTTCTACTAAGCACCAAAGTAAGAGGGCCCTTCTCCCAATGACCACCAATGTAAGGTGGACCTTCTCCTACTGACCAGCAATGTAAGAAGGTCTTTCTCCAAATGACCACCAAAGTAAGGTGGACCCTCTACTAAGCACCAAAGTAAGAGGGCCCTTCTCCCAATGACCACCAATGTAAGGTGGACCTTCTTCTACTGACCAGCAATGTAAGAAGGTCTTTCTCCAAATGACCACCAAAGTGAGGTGTACCTTCTACTAAGCACCAAAATAAGAGGGTCCTTCTCCAAATGACCACCAAAGTAAGGTGGACCTTCTCCTACTCACCAACAATGTAAGAAGGTCTTTCTCCAACTGACCACCAACGAAAGGTGGACCTACTACTAAGCACCAAAGTAAGAGGGCCCTTCTTCCATTGACCACCAATGTAAGGTGGACCTTCTCCTACTGACCAGCAATGTAAGAAGGTCCTTCTCCAAATGACCACCAAAGTAAAGTGGACCTTCTACTAAGTACCAAAGTAAGAGGGTCCTTCTCCAAATGACCACCAAAGTAAGGTGGACCTTCTCCTAATGACCAGCAATGTAAGAAGGTCTTTCTCCAAATGACCAGCAAAGTAAGGTGGATATTCCCCTACTGACCAGCAATGTAAGAGGGTCCTTCTCCAAAGGACAACCAAAGTAAGGTGGACCTTCTACTAAGCACCAAAGTAAGAAGGTCCTTTTCCAAATGACCACCAAAGTAAGGTGGACCTTCTCCTACTGACTAGCAATGTAAGAAGGTCTTTCTCCAAATGACCACCAAAGTAGGGTGGACCTTCTACTAAGCACCAAAGGGCTCTTCTTCCATTGACCACCAATGTAAGGTGAACCTTCTCCTACTGACCAGCAATGTAAGAAGGTCTTTCTCCAAATGACCACCAACGTAAGGTGGACCTTCTACTAAGCACCAAAGTAAGAGGGCTCTTCTTCTATTGACCACCAATGTAAGGTGGACCTTCTCCTACTGACCAGCAATGTAAGAAGGTCTTTCTCCAAATGACCACCAAAGTAAGGTGGACCTTCTACTAAGCACCAAAGTAAGAGGTTCCTTCTCCAAATGACCACCAATGTAAAGTAAACCTTCTCCTACTGACCAGCAATGTAAGAAGGTCTTTCTCCAAATGACCACCAACGAAAGGTGGACCTTCTACTAAGCACCAAAGTTAGAGGACCCTTCTTCCATTGACCACCAATGTAAGGTGAACCTTCTCCTACTGACCAGCAATGTAAGAAGGTCTTTCTCCAAATGACCACCAAAGTAAGGTGTACCTTCTACTAAGCACCAAAATAAGAGGGTCCTTCTCCAAATGACCACCAAAGTAAGGTGGACCTTCTCCTACTCAACAGCAATGTAAGAAGGTCTTTCTCCAAATGACCACCAAAGTAAGGTGTACCTTCTACTAAGCACCAAAGTAAGAGGGCTCTTCTTCCATTGACCACCAATGTAAGGTGGACCTTCTCCTACTGACCACCAATGTAAAAAGGTCTTTCTCCAAATGACCACCAAAGTAAGGTGGACCTTCTACTAAGCACCAAAGTAAGAGGTTCCTTCTACAAATGACCACCAAAGTAAAGTGGACCTTCTCCTACTGACCGGCAATGTAAGAAGGTTTTTCTCCAAATGACCACCAAAGTAAGGTGGACCTTCTACTAAGCACCAAAGTAAGAGGGCTCTTCTTCCATTGACCACCAATGTAAGGTGAACCTTCTCCTACTGACCAACAATGTAAGAAGGTCTTTCTCCAAATGACCACCAACGAAAGGTGAACCTACTACTAAGCACCAAAGTAAGAGGGCCCTTCTACCATTGACCACCAATGTAAGGTGGACCTTCTCCTACTGACCAGCAATGTAAGAGGGTCCTTCTCCAAATGACCACAAATGTAAGGTGGACCTTCTCCTACTGATCAGCAATGTAAGAAGGTCTTTCTCCAAATGACCACCAAAGTAAGGTGTACCTTCTACTAAGCACCAAAGTAAGAGGGCCCTTCTTCCATTGACCACCAAAGTAAGGTGGACCTTCTCCTACTAACCATCCATGTAAGAGGGTCCTTCTCCAAAAGACCACAAATGTAAGGTGGACCTTCTCCTACTGACCACCAATGTAAGGTGGACCTTCATGAACCATACAGACGTCTCTCTGGTATGGGTACTATGGCTAAACTGAGGCGTTAACCTCGTTGTGTGCCTAAAAAAGCCGAACATTTTAAAATCTACTCAGTAATTTAACATTTCCTTCGATACACCACCAGTTAATATATTTCAGTCCTGACGCTGGATACGCAGCCCATTATCATTTTCCGTCAGGACGAGTCTCAAAGTTGCCCGTTAATTTAATTTTTTTTTTTCGGTGCCCAATTCCCCCTACAGTGACCTCTCCAGAGAGCCTGTTAACTAGCGCCATTCGAAGAGATCGCAAATATATCAGACTAATGCGCTCGCTTCGTTTCTAACTGGCACGGGCAAATTATCCGCAGCCATAAAACGAGCAGATTGCGCGATAAAACAAAGAAAGGCATAAAATAAACAACGCATATTATGGATAATGTGGTAGAAAATGTGGACGGGACCGCATTAATTCCTCCTGATGAGATAATGGGCGGAAAATGCCGCGGTAATCTGTCTCACAAAGACACGACTGTCTGTCCGGGGACGAGCGCAAAGAGGCCCTTCCATCAGACGAATGGCTCTGAAACAGAACATCGAAATTCGTGAACTAGAGCAAAACCTTCACTTATCTTCTTTGTGCGTTCAGAAAGAGAACTCCCACTGACACCAATGATGGGGCACTATTCTTCCTACTGACACCAGTGAAGGGGCACTACTCCTCCCACTGACACCAATGATGGGGCACTATTCCTCCCACTGACACCAATGAAGGGACACTATTCCTCCCACGGACACCAATGATGGGGCACTATTCCTCCCACGGACACCAATGAAGGGACACTATTCCTCCCACTGACACCAATGATGGGGCACTATTCCCCCCACTGACACCAATGATGGGGCACTATTCCTCCCACTGACACCAATGATGGGCACTATTCCTCCCACTGATACCACTGATGGGGCATTATTCCTCCCACTGACATCAATGATGGGACACTATTCCTCCCACTGACACCAATGATGGGGCATTATTCTTCCTACTGACACCAATGATGGGACAATATTCCTTCCACTGATACCAATGATAGGGCACTATTCCTCCCACTGATACCAATGATGGGGCACTATTCATCCCACTGATACCAATGATGGGGCACTATTCCTCCCACTGACACCAATGATGGGACACTATTCCTCCCACTGACACCAATGAAGGGGCACTATTCCTCCCACTGACACCAATGATGGGGCAAAATTCTTCCTACTGACACCAATGATGGGGCACTATTCCTCCCAATGACACCAATGAAGGGGCACTATTCCCCCCACTGACGCCAATGATGGGGCACTATTCCTCCCACTGATACCAATGAAGGGGCACTATTCCTCCCACTGACACCAATGAAGGGGCACTATTCCTCCCACTGATACCAATGATGGGGCACTATTCCTCCCACTGACACCAATGAAGGGGCACTATTTCTCCCACTGACACCAATGATGGGGCAAAATTCTTCCTACTGACACCAATGATGGGGCACTATTCCTCCCACTGACACCAATGATGGGGCACTATTCCTCCCACTGACACCAATGATGGGGCACTATTCCTCCCACTGATACCAATGATGGGGCACTATTCCTCCCACTGACACCAATGAAGGGGCACTATTCCCCCCACTGACACCAATGGTGGGGGCACTATTCCTCCCACTGATACCAATGATGGGACACTATTCCTCCCACTGATACCAATGATGGGACACTATTCCTTCCACTGATACCAATGATGGGGCACTATTCCTCCCACTGATACCAATGATGGGGCACTATTGCTCCTACTGACACCAATGATGGGGCATTATTCCTCCCACTGATACCAATGAAGGGGCACTTTTCCTCCCACTGACACCAATGATGGGGCAGTATTCCTCCCACTGATACCAATGATGGGGCACTATTCCTCCCACTGACACCAATGATGGGGCACTATTCCTCCCACTAATACCAATGATGGGACACTATTCCTCCCACTGACACCAATGATGGGGCACTATTCCTCCTACTGACATCAATGATGGGACAATATTCCTTCCACTGACACCAATGATGAGGCACTATTCCTCCCACTGACACCAATGATGGGGCACTTTTCCTCCCACTGACACCAATGATGGGGCACTATTCCTCCTACTGACATCAATGATGGAACAATATTCCTTCCACTGACACCAATGATGGGGCACTATTCCTCCTACTGATATCGATGATGGGTCACTATTCCTCCCACTGACACCAATGATGGGGCACTATTCCTCCTACTGACACCAGTGAAGGGGCACTATTCCTCCCACTGACACCAGTGATGGGGCACTATTCCTCCCACTGACACTAATGATGGGGCACTATTCTTCCCACTGACACCAATGATGGGGCACTATTCTTCCCACTGACACCAATGATGGGGCACTATTCCTCCCACTGACACCAATGATGGGGCACTATTCTTCCTACTGACACCAATGATGGGGCACTATTCTTCTCACTGACACCAATGATGGGGTATTGCTCACTCCCACCAATGCCAGGACATTTTCTACTCCCACTGGCCACAGTCCGGCCCCCCTAAAGTCTGAAGGATGTAAACTGGCCCTTTGATTAGAAAGTTCGAAGACCCCTGGACTAGATGATGCTGGACGTCGTCCACCCAGGAAATGAGGCAGAGCTCTATCTGATTGGCTGCAGCTTCTAATGCACATTGTGAGCTTCTTACAGTGTGCGGTGATATCAGAGGAATCCATTTCAGTCCAGGAGAGGAGCCGGCACAACTGTGCAGGACTGAAGGGAAGGCCGGGGGTCAGGTTTAATGTCTGCTCTTCTCAAATGCAGGTTCTGCTTAGTAGTGCTGCACAACTGTTGTGCCAAGCGGTATGGTCCCAGTTGGGGAATGAGTTGTCACCGGAACAAGAGGCGAGAGGAAGCCTTCCAAAGGTGACATTTGTTTTGGTGACAACGGTCTTTTCACTTTGTAAAGATTTTTCTCATTTCCTGTTGTTGGGGAGATTTTCCAACACTTCCTGTGCTGAAGGTCAGCACAGGAAGTGTTGGAAAATCTCCCCAACTGGATGCCGTTTGAACCCTCCTCCAATGCCAGACAGTCGTTTTATGGTCACAATGTATCTCAATGTATCTCTTTCTCTCCCGGTCATCTTTCAGGTCCCCCGATGATCACCAGCGAGGGGTTGCAGTACGCTGTGCGCGGCGGAGTCGGAAAAGTCGAATGTTTCATCGGAAGCACACCGCCTCCAGACCGCATTGTAAGTCGTTCTGCTTCGTAATGACTTGCCATTTTTTTTTTCTCCAGGCGCCGCGCGTATAATGTAGACCATTCCTATCGCAAAAGTGCGCGCAGCTTCCCGTGTGAGCAGCCATGTTGTCCCCCGTATGAATATTAATGAGAATGCGCCTTATGGCGGGCTTTGCAGGGAAAAATGCTGTTTTTGTTCCATGAAATTCTTCTCAGCAACGTGTAGAAAAAAAAAAACGTACTTCAAGAGCCTGACCCTGACCACTCTCAGCTCGGCATTCACAAAGTGCCAAACTGATAAGATTTCTGGCGTTCTTCTGGTCATGTGATATGAGCAATATCTGCCCATCTCTGTGTGTCTGAACCCCCCCGATACAACAGAGGAACATGACGGCAGTCTGAACATGACACCTACAGAATACAATTTTCACAGGCAAAGCAGTCTGTATGTGGCACATCCAGTGTGTGGGCTGCTGTGCCTGTGCAAATGTGGTCCATACAGACCTTCACAATTGTGGACCATACAGACCTTCACAATTGTGGACCATACAGACCTCCACAATTGTGGTTCATACAGACCTTCACAATTGTGGACCATAGAGACCTTCACAATTGTGGACCATACAGACCTTCACAATTGTGGTTCATACAGAGCTTCACAATTGTGGTCCATACAGACCTTCTCAATTGTGGACCATACGGACCTTCACAATTGTGGACCATACAGACCTTCACAATTCTGGTCCATAGAGACCTTCACAATTCTGGTCCATACAGACCTTCACAATTGTGGACCATACAGACCTTCACAATTGTGGACCATACAGACCTTCACAATTGTGGACCATAGAGACCTTCACAATTGTGGACCATAGAGACCTTCACAATTGTGGACCATAGAGACCTTCACAATTGTGGACCATAGAGACCTTCACAATTGTGGACCATAGAGACCTTCACAATTGTGGTCCATACAGACCTTCACAATTGTGGTCCATACAGACCTTCACAATTCTGGTCCATACAGACCTTCACAATTGTGGACCATACAGACCTTCACAATTGTGGTCCATACAGACCTTCTCAATTGTGGACCATACAGACCTTCACAATTGTGGACCATAGAGACCTTCATAATTGTGGACCATAGAGACCTTCACAATTGTGGTCCATACAGACCTTCACAATTGTGGTCCATACAGACCTTCACAAATGTGGTCCATACAGACCTTCACAATTGTGGTCCATAGCAGGGGTGGACTGACAACCCATGGGGCCCCCGGGCAATAGGGGATCATGGGGCCCCTGTGTCCTTGCGCACACTCAAAGCACACCCAAAAAACGCCTGTAAAAGGTACCAGGGGCATTTCATGGGGTCCCCCTACTGACCCAGGGCCCTCGGGCAGTGCCGGAGAGCTTGAATGGTTAGTCCGCTCCTGGTCCATAGAGACCTTCACAATTGTGGACCTAGACTAAAATATCAATACCATACACTGTAACGTTAATCCAGTCCAGTCCATATACTTTGTTTCCGCTCTTATAGCCCTGATGAAGGGGGTGAGCTCTGGTACCTGAAACGCGTAGGCTTTTTCCTATAGCCTTCTGTATGATCTTACGAGCAGAACTGACACCTGCACTGCCTCCTAGACTCTTTTTACTATTCATGATTACTTCTGTCCCTGCCAGTGTTCAATCCCTGATGAAGGGTGAGGCAAGTACCCGAAACGCATTGGAGGTACCTTTTGATTTTTATTAGCAAGACTAACATATCTATAATGGACTTACTGACACCACACTGGCTTTTATGTTAGTCCTAGGTTCTTTTTACTGTCCACTATTACGTCAATCACTGCCAGTGCTCAAGTCTCAATGAAGGGTGAGGCAAGTACCCGAAAAACGCGTTGGATTTTTCTTAGCAAGACTAACATACCTATAATGGACTTACTGACACCACACTGGCTTTTATGTTAGTCCTAGACTCATTTTACTGTCCACTTTTACTTCAATCACTGCCAGTGTTCAAGCCCTGATGAAGGTTGAGGCAAGTAACTGAAACACGTTGGTTGTACCTTCTGATTTTTTTTTTTTAGCAAGACTAATACATCTGTAATGGACTTACTGACACCACATTTCCTTTTATACTAACCGTAGACTTTTTTTTACTGTCCAGTATTACGTCAATCACTGCCAGTGCTCAATCCCAGATGAAGGGAGAGGCGGGTCCCCGAAACGCGTTAGGCCTACATTCTGATTTTTTTTTTTTTTTTAGCAAGACTAATAAATCTGTCATGGACTCACTGACACATTTCCTTTTATACTAACCGTAGACTTTTTTTTTTTACTGTCCAGTATTACTTCAATCACTGCCAGTACTCAAGCACTGATGAAGGGGGAGGTGAGTCCCCAATGAAGGGGGAGGTGACTTCCCGAAACGCGTTGGATGTACCTTCCAATTTTTTTTTATTAGCAAGACTAATACATCAGTAATGGACTTACTGACACCCCATTTCTTTTTATGTTAATCGTAGTCTTTTTAATGTCCGGTATTACTTCAGTCCCTGTAATGAAGCCCTGATGAAGGGGAAGGATAGTCCCCAAAACGCATTGCCTGTACCTTCTGATTTTTTTTTTTTAGCAAGACTAATAAAATCTATAATGGACTTACTGACACCACGCTGCCTTTTATGTTAATCCTAGACTCTTTTTACTGTTCAATATTACTTCTATCCCTGCCAGTAACTTAAGCCTGATGAAGGGAGAGATGAGTCCCCAAAACGCGTTGAATGTACTGTCTGATTTTTTTTTTTTTTAAGCAAGACTAATAAAACTATAATAGACTTGCTGACACCACACTGCCTTTTATGTTAATGCTAGGCTTGTTTTACTGTATTGCTTCTATTACTGACAGTGCTTAAGCCCTGATGAAGGGTGAGGCAAGTACCTGAAATGCATTGGTTGTACCTTCTGATTTTTTTTGTTAGCAAGACTAATAAACCTATAACGGACTTACTGACACCACAGTGCCCTTTATGGTAATCCTAGACTCTTTTTACTGTCCAGTATTGCTTCTATCACTGCCAGTATTCAAGCCCTGATGAAGGGTGAGGCAAGTGTCCGAAACGCATTGGAGGTACCTACTGAATTTTTTTTTTAGCAAGACTAATACATCTATAATGGACTTACTGACACCACAGTCCCCTTTATGTTAATCCTAGGCTCTTTTTACTGTCCACTTTTACTTCAATCACTGCCAGTATTCAAGCCCTGATGAAGGGTGAGGCAAGTGTCCGAAACGCGTTGGCTGTACCTTCTAATTTTTTTCAAGCAAGACATAAACCTGTAATGGACTTACTAACACCACACAGCCTTTTATCTTAATCCTAGACTTTTTTTTACTGTCCACTTTTACTTCGATCACTGCCAGTACTCAAGCCCTGATGAAGGGTGAGGCAAGTACCTGAAACGCATTGGTTGTACCTTCTGATTTTTTTTTTTAGCAAGACTAATAAATCTATAATGGACTTACTGACACCACACAGCCTTTTATGTTAATCCTAGACTCTTTTTACTGTCCACTTTTACTTCAATCACTGCCAGTACTCAAGCCCTGATGAAGGGTGAGGCAAGTATCCAAAACGCATTGGTTGTACCTTCTGATTTTTTTTAGCAAGACTAATAAACCTATAATGGACTTACTGACACCACAGTGCCCTTTATGTTAATCCTAGACTCTTTCTACTGTCCAGTATTGCTTCTATCCCTGCCAGTACTCAAGCCTGATGAAGGGGGAGGTGAGTCCCCGAAACACGTTGGTTGTACCTTCTGATTTTTTTTTCTCGTTTAACAAGACTAATAAATCTATAATGGACCGTGTTTATTTGTGATGGTCTCATCCTTTGCATCTACATGATCTTCCGTGGAAAAAATGTATACCTGGTACCTGGGCTTATTAGTTGCGGTGTGGCTATTCAATCTCAGATCCATTTGGTTGCAAAAAAAAACAATTGGAGGAGCATCTAACCCTTCCCTATTCTACCCAAAAGAAAAAAATAGGTCTGGTTTTCGATTCTGTGCTGTTAGAGTTGAGAAAATAAGCAGCAAGCTTTGTGAGGTTGACCAAATTCTTCTAAACGAGGGCAACCCCTTTAAATATCGGACATCAATAGCAGTTCTGATGCCGCTGACCTGGATGGCTTTATCGGCCCCCCGCGTTTCCATTAAGCCTCAGACCACCCCATGAGAAAAACAATATTCCGAGAAGCCGGCGTTCCCGTTTTTTTTTTTTTTTTTATTTCAGCCGCTCTGATGAATGATTATTTCAATAATCACCCGTTGCTGAGGAGACAATAGCTCTTCATAATCACTGACAAACCAACGGCGTTAACAGGCGGGTGAAGCAACGGTGCCCCCTACCGGTCGCTGCTGTCACTACAACCCTCCGTGTCAACCGTGTGAGAAATGCTTCTGTCGCCGTCTGACTGCAGATGTGGTTGAGAGTTTGACGGAAGAGGTGGCATGGCCATCAGGCCACTTATGAGGAGCTGGGAGGTGATATGTGAGTAATTCGGAAACCTGGAGCCCAGGCCAGGATGAAAACTGGAGACCAAATTCCTCTCTCAGTGGATATATATATATATATATGTGTCCTTTTTTCACGCTAATTAAAGTGGAGATTTGTGCAGCATTCACAGCTGCCTCTCTGTGGAGTCCCGGGGGAGACAAGTTCTCCAAACAGCATCCACTGCGGCTGAAATCATTTTATCACAGCTTACAGAATGAAGTGTTTAGCAGAGGAAGCGACTGAGGAGAATTGATTACGGGCTTTCAGGGATGTTAACTCCAACCGCTCCTCGCTGGCTCTGCCAAGACCTTGGAGTTAAAGAGACACACCAGCCAAGAAAGTAAAAGAAATAAGACCATGAAATGCATACAGAAGGCTCAGGGTTTAGCTGTAACCACGCTTCGAAAAATGCCCTCTGGGAGTTCTGGGAATAGCCAATTTATATGTTCCAGGTCTGTTTCCAGCTCAGCCATCACAATTGTATCCATCCATGATGACCAAAGAGGGTTTAAGATCTGTTCCCAATCTCAACCATCACAATTTCATCCATCCTTGAGGACCAAAGAGGGTTTAAGATCTGTTCCCAATCTCAACCATCACAATTTCATCCATCCTTGAGGACCAAAGAGGGTTTAAGATCTGTTCCCAATCTCAACCATTACAATTTCGTCCATGCTTGAGGACCAAAGAGGGTTTAAGATCTGTTCCCAATCTCAATCATCACAATTTTATCCATCCTTGAGGACCAAAGAGGGTTTATGATATATTCCCAATCACAACCATCACAATTTTGTCCATGCTTGAGGACCAAAGAGGGTTTAAGATCTGTTCCCAATCTCAATCATCAAAATTTTATCCACCATGCTTGAGGACCAAAGAGGGTTTAAGATCTGTTGAAAATCTCAACCATCACAATTTTATCCACCATGCTGGAGGACCAAAGAGGGTTTAAGATCTGTTCCCAATCTCAACCATCACAAATTTCATCCATCCTTGAGCAAAGAGGGTTTAAGATCTGTTCCCAATCTCAACCATCACAATTTCATCCATCCTTGAGGAGCAAAGAGGGTTTAAGATCTGTTCCCAATCTCAATCATCACAATTTTATCCACCATGCTTGAGGACCAAAGAGGGTTTAAGATCTATTGAAAATCTCAACCATCACAATTTTATCCATGCTTGAGGACCAAAGAGGATTTAAGATCTGTTTCCAATCTCAGCCATCTCAATTTATCCATCCTTGAGGACCAAAGAGGGTTTAAGATCTGTTTCCAATCTCAGCCATCACAATTTTTTCATCCTTGAGGACCAAAGAGGGTTTCTTCCCAACTTTTTTGCTATCTTCCTTCTGTCCCCATGCTTTGTTTGCTGTCTATCTCAAATCCCTATTTCCAAAACCTTCTCCATTGAGGCCCCCATTCCACAACAATGCCTCCTTTATTTCCCACCAGGTCTGCTTAGTCTCTTCTGCTCTTAGGAGACTAGGAGCCCCTGACAGACAGGATGCTGGAATATTGCTAGCAGACAGACACTTAACCTGAGACCAGATTGGACCCAATGGTACACTATACAGCCAAATATTTGCGGGCATGTGACATCTCTATGAGCTTGTTGGACATCCCATTCCAGAGCTATGGCCATTAATATGGAGTTGGCCCCCTTTGCGGTAATAACCCTTTTGCGTTATAACTCCACTCTTCTAGGAAGGCTTTCCAGAAGATATTGGAGTGTGTCTGTGGGAATTTGTACCAATTCAGTCAAATAAACACCCAAGACCAAAAGACCAGGAACTGAGGCCCTGGAAGTTAACCCTTTCCCCAGTCTGGGCAAGCCAACTACCTTACTAATGTAGCAAAGAACTCACACTGTAGGCAACCTGCCTACATATCTCTGAACAATTGTTGTGGAGAGCTCATAGTAAAGATAGGTGAAGCTGGGAAGCCAAGTGCAGAGATTTTCCATTAGAATTTCTGACAGGAGGTAGCAGGTTAAGCAAACCTTTCAACATTCACCTGAAACATCTACTTTTGGTCTACTGACCCTATAGCAGTTTGCTTCATTGTATTATTGAAAGTCACATGGTCAAAATAGGAACTGTAAAAAAAACAGCAAAAATACTTGTTTTCATTGACTTGGTGTTCACTATTACTGACATGTGGGGCTAATAAGAAAAAATATTCTTTGAATTTTAGGCCTGGGCATGGCTGGAGCGGACCATGGAAAAGGGAACGGTGGACAGGTATACTGTAGAAAGGACCAAAACAGAAAACGGCGTGCGCTCCACCCTGACCATCAATAACGTCATGGAGTCGGACTTTCAGACGACATACAACTGCACAGCATGGAACAGCTTTGGTTCAGAAACTGCCAATATTAAACTAGTAGAGAAAGGTAAGGGAGTGGCATACTGACTGTACCCCCATATTATAACGTGAACCTGTAACCAGACTATAGACATTGTGAAAAGTATACTTCATGGCTCCACTCTAAGCTATGGATGAAAGGAAAAGGATCACCCCTCTTGCTAGCGAGAATAGGGGAGTATGAGTCCAAGCGATTCCAGTGTCAGCCAATACAAGTGAAGATAGGGATGCTGCTTAACCGACCCCAGGAGTCCAATGTTGAGGAATGGCCTCAACCGCTGTTCTGGCCAGAACGGCAGTTGAGGCCATTCATCAATATTGGCCTCCTGGGGTCGGTTGAGCAGCACCCATCCCTTCACCAGGCTATGGACAGTAATGTATTAACATGTTCTTAATAAGCAATAAATGAGCTTTAATACATGCCCTCAATGAACTCTGCAGCTCCACGCACTGCAGAGAAAGTCCTCCTCAACCTTCTGATCAGGTTCCTCAGCACTCAGCTTCACTCTGAGTGTCTGCTTCTCCAAGCTGCAGGCTCCTGAGTCAAAACTTGGATGGGGAGCGGGGGGAGCTGAGCTGCTGAGTCACTGCTAAGGGGGGGGGGGGGAGCAGGGTGATCACTTCTAGGAGGAGCTATGAGTTCATACTGCAAAGAGGAAGCAAAGTGAGATGAGATGCTGAGCCACTGCTGGTAGTGGGGGCAGGGAAAACTGAGCTGCTGGAAGGGTTTAGCAGGGTATGTTGAGTTACTGATTGGAAGTGAGAGTAGGGGAGCTGAGCTGCTGGAAGGGTTTAACAGGGTATGTTGAGTTACTGATTGGAAGTGAGAGTAGGGGAGCTGAGCTGCTGGAAGGGTTTAACAGGGTATGTTGAGTTACTGATTGGAAGTGAGAGTAGGGGAGCTGAGCTGCTGGAAGGGTTTTAGCAGGGTGTGTTGAGTTACTGATTGGAAGTGAGAGTAGGGGAGCTGAGCTGCTGGAAGGGTTTAACAGGGTATGTTGAGTTACTGATTGGAAGTGAGAGTAGGGGAGCTGAGCTGCTGGAAGGGTTTAGCAAGGTATGTTGAGTTACTGATTGGAAGTAAGAGTAGGGGAGCTGAGCTGCTGAGAGAACTACTTTCACAAATGTAATGCTTCTGCTGTGAACGTTGATAATAATTTGCTCTATAGTGTCCGCTGTTACAACGGTCACCAAGAACTTGGCTGTAAAACTCACATATTGTGTGTCCATAATCTGGCCACAGGTTCACTTCAAGGTGGCCAGCATCCTCAAACACGACTGTGCACCTCACACATCTTCCTTTTTTGCCTTTTCCAGAAGTTGTCCCGGTGGGAATCATTGCCGGAGCGACCATCGGGTCAGGCATCCTGGTCATCATATTCTTTGTCTTCTTCATTTTCTTCCTGTACAGACGTCGTAAAGGCAGTAAGTACCAACACAAAGGACGGCTGACAAATGCATGAGCAACTCGCCAGCTTCCCCAGAGGAGCCAATTAAGAGGCTATGTCATATTTTGTGATAAGCGATGAACGCAATGGCTGCACAAGCTCTCTGCTGGTAAACACTTCTTCATGAAAAGACAAGACGCCTCTCTCACATGCTTCCCATCTTCAATGTAGCACAATGATGTGCAAATAGTTCCAGCTAATGCAGAAAAAAGTCTTGGATGGAATTCAGGATGGTTAATATATGTGATTCATTGCCTGAGCCATTCCAGTTTCCAAATCCTATGAGACGGGGGTATCGATCCATGAATAGTGAAGGATCTCCTGATTTGTGGATGTCACTGAGTATGCGGAACCCCCCATGGTGCCAAGATTCAAGTGATTTGTCAAAATTAAAGAAAACCAATGTTGGTTATGTCTTGTAATAGATAAATAGTGTATTCTCTGTGATCTGGTTCAAAGCGAGCTACGTTGTCTAATGCAGGCCATAGATGGGGAGAAAACCGGCTGATTTTTCATTAAAAAAATGAAAAATCGGTCGTTCAAAGCGGCCGACGTTACAGGAATGGTAAAAAAATCGGCCGATTTTCATCCCGTCTACAGCCGGCAAAAAGTGTCCCTGCAGAGAGCTCCGCTATTTCTTTGACATTTATAGCGGTTGCAACAATGTATTTATTTGTATGCATTTCGGATACAGATGTTTTTATTCGGAAACAAATAGATACATTGTTGCAACCGCTATAAATGTCAAAGAAATAGCGGAGCTCTCTGCAGGGACACTTTTTGCCGGACTGGAATTCTTCTTCTTCATCCTCTTCTTCTTCTTCATCCTCTTCTTCTTTATCATCCTCTTCTTCATCTTCTTCATCCTCTTCTTCATCCTCTTCTTCATCCTCTTCTCCTTCTTCTTCATCCTCTTCTTCTTTCTCTTCGTCATCCCTCTTCTTCTTCATCCTCTTTTTCTTCTTCTTCTTCCTCTTCTTCTTCCTCTTCTTCATCCTCTTCTTCTTCTTCATCCTCTTCTTCATTCTCTTCTTCTTCCTCTTCTTCTTCTTCATCCTCTTCTTCTTCTTCTTCTTCCTCTTCTTCTTCTTCGTTCTCTTCTTCATCCTCTTCTTCTTCTTCCTCTTCTTTTCTTCTTCTTCCTCTTCTTCTTCTTCCTCTTCTTCTTCCATCCTCTTCTTCTTCTTCCTCTTCTTCTTCCATCCTCTTTTTCTTCTTCCTCTTCTTCTTCCATCCTCTTCTCCTTCTTCCTCTTCTTCTTCGTCCTCTTCTTCTTCTTCATCTTCTTCTTCTTCTTCATCCTCTTCTTCTTCATCCTCTTCTTTTTGTCTTCCATTTGCAGGTCACTGCTCATGCGCAGATTTTTTTATCGATAAAAAGATCGTCCGATTTGCCCATAATTGCCGCGAAAATCGGCCGATCTTTTTCCAACTTTACCAATAAAAAAAATCTGCCAAAATACCGAAAAACGGCCGAACAATTAACCCACTAACGATCCGAAAATCGGCCGATTTTCAGCCCATCTATGGCCTGCATTAAACTCCATCCAATATTTTCTAGCCACAAAGAAGGTCATGTCAAAGGTGTTCTTCTTGAGTAAGACCATGATTATCATTACTGCAACATCAATGGCAGCATCTCAGTGCTGGATCATATCAATAAAAAAATATATAAAACCAGAAATGTTTCTCATAATCTTGACAGGGGTCTCCAAACTTTTCAGTATGAGGGCCACTTAGTATATTTTACAAATATTCACGAGCCAAAAAGAGTGAATGTTTTCATTAGATCTTTTGATCGATATCATTCTGATTCCAAAAAACAAAGAACTTCAGTAAAACAAAGCAGAGTCCCACCTTACATCAGGGTTCCAGTCAGTGCTTCCCACTCTGGACTATATATAGAGGAGGGTTATCTCAGTCTGGTTAGCTCTGATGAAGAAGGGACCCTCCCTTCAAAACGCGTCAGCTTCACCCTGAGAGTCTCCCTTTTCGCACGTGTCTCCTAATCCAATGATTCGATTTTGGATTCTATATGCCTTTTATATTGCTACTTTTTTGAGTATATCTCTTAACCGCATGCCGCCCAGCCACTGTACATATACGGCGGCAGGGCGGCACTCACAGGCAAAACCACGTTTTAAGATGCGTGTTTTGTAAACAAATAGGGGGGCGCGCGCGAGGCGCCCCCTATAAAAACTGTTGAAAAATTGGGGTTTTTTTAGCAAAGACATGTCGCAGAATGCATTTTGGCAGAAATTTATGACTAAATTAGATTTTTGCATTTTTTTTACTGGACATGTTTTATAGCAAAAAGTCCAAAATATTGTTTTTTTTCCTCAAAATTGTCAGCCTTTTTTTTTATAGCGCAAACAAATAAAAAACCGCACAGGCGATCAAATACCACCGAAAGAAAGCTCAATTTGTGGGGAAAAAAAGGATGTAAATTTCATTTATGTACCGTATTGCATGACTGCGCAATTGTCCGTTAAACTAGCGCAGCGCTGTATAGCAGAAAAATGTCGTAAATTGCAGTATCTATACCATAGTTTGTAGACGCTATAACTTCACAAAAAGCAATCAATATACACTTATTGGGATTTTTTTTACAAAAAACATGGAGCAGAATACATTTTGGCCTAAATTTATAACCAACTTTGAGTTTACTATATATTTTTTATAGCTGAAAATAAAAAATATTGTTTTTCTTCAAAATTTTTGGCCTTTTTTTGTTTATAGCGTGAAAAATAAAAAGCGCACAGATGATCAAATACCACCGAAAGAAAGTTCTATTTGTGTGAAAAAAAGGACGTAAATTTCATTTGGGTGCAGTGTTGCATGACCGCGCAATTATCAGTTGAATTAGTGCAGAGCCGAGTAGCAAAAAGAGGCCTGGTCATTAAGGGGGGTAAATCCTCAGGAGGGCAAGTGGTTAAATCAATTATTATTATTATAATACAGGATTTATATGGCGCCAACAGTTTGCTCAGCACTTTACAATATAAGGGAGACAATACAATTACAATACATTTCAGTACAGAAGGAATAGGAGGGCCCGGCTCATGGAGCTTACAATCTAAAGAAAGGGGGAGGTGATACAAAAGGTGATAGCTGCGGGGGATGATCAGGTGGAGGTGATTCAAGTACAGTTCTTAGGTGGGGGTGGGGTAGGCTTCCCTGAAGAAGTGAGTTTTCAAAGATTGCCAAAAGGCAGACGGGTGGGGGCTGACCGGACATGCTGTGGTAAGGAGTTCCAGAGGATGGGAGAGGCTCTGGAGAAGTCCTGGAGGCGAGCGTGGGAGGAAGTGATGAGGGAGCTAGAGAGAAGGATATCATGGGAGGAGCAGAGTGGGTGATTTGGGCGGTATCTGTGGATGAGGTTGGTGATGTAGCTAGGGGCAGTGTTGCGGATGGTTTTGTAAGTTGTGGTTAGTATTTTGAATTTTATACATTGGGTTAGTGCAGTGTTTCTCAACTCCAGTCCTCATGGACCCCCAACAGGTCATGTTTTCAGGATTTCCCTCAGATGAATCAGTGAAACTGATCAAATCACCTGTGCAAAATAATGGAAATCCTGAAAACATGACCTGTTGGGGGTCCATGAGGACTGGAATTGAGAAACACTGGGTTAGTGGAAGCCAGTGAAGGGATTGACAGAGAGGGGCAGCAGTCGCTGATCGGTTGGTAAGGTGTATGAGTCTAGCAGCAGCATTCATAATAGACTGAAGGGGGGATAGCCTGTGTAACGGTAGACCAGTGAGGAGGGAGTTGCAGTAATCGAGGCGGGATATAACCAAGGTGTGGATGAGTTGCTTTGTGATGTCATTGGTCAGGAAGGGGCTGATTTTGGAAATGTTCTGGAGGTTGAGGCGGCAGGATTTAGCCAGTGAGTGGATGTGGGGCCCAAAGGAGAGGTCAGAGTCTAGGATTACGCCTAGCACCCCAGCATGAGGGGAAGGACCAATGGTTGTGCTGTTGATCGTAATGGTAAAGTCGTGAGTGGGGGATCGGGGGGGAGGAAATATTACAAGCTCAGTTTTTGATCAATAAATAATCAATAAATCTAATTGCTTACTGAGGTAATGCACAAGGTTGGTGCGCTCGGTTTTTATGTTCTCTACTACAGTTTGTATCGAGCTTCCCCAGCTTCGTGTTAGAGCTGCACAACCTTTGATCGGTCTTGGACGAACTTCCATGTATTCTAATATACATTGGTCTATCGGCCCTCTACTGATCTGAGTCCCTGAGCGCAGGAGGTGTTGTATCAGTGCTTCCCACCCATCTGAGTTCTTTTTAGAGTCCCCCCTTACATCATGGCCCCCAGAAGTTCACCCTTTACATCAATTCTAGATGTAAATGTTGGTTTCATTATCCAACTCAATGGATTATTCATATATACAGCCAGGGGCGGACTGACAACTCATGGGGCCCCCGGGCAATAGGGGATCATGGGGCCCCTGTGCCCTTGCACAAACTCAAAAAAGCCTATGAAAAAGGTACCAGGGGCATCTCATGGGGCCCCCTACTGACCCCGGGCCCTCGGGCAGTGCCCGAGTTTCCAAATGGTCAGTCCGCCCCTGTATACAGCAATCATCCTGAAATAAAGAGTACTTAAAGCAGATTTCTGGGCATAAAGTTCAATTTCTGAATGTGTTTGTAACTTTTGTAAGCTTCCACATTAATTCAATAATGAATTCCATTGCCCCACCAGGTCGTAAGGATGTGACACTGAGAAAACTGGACATCAAGGTGGAGACCGTAAATCGGGAACCTTTAACCATGCACCCAGACAGAGAGGAGGACACATCAAGCGTTTCCACCGCAACAAGGGTCATGAAGGCTATCTATTCAGTGAGTAGACTTTGCTTGACATGCCATAGCATGACCGGGGACATCACATGAAGTGTGAAGTCAATCATCCCATATTTAGGACAGATCTTTCAAGTTCCAAAGTAGTATTTAACATGAAATTATCAAAACTATTTCCTCAGCAGTGTTTTGATGTGTTTTGTACAGTGAAGAACTTGGAGAACCATTCTTGTCTCTGTCCACCATAGTCTAACATGGTCAACATTGGCCCAAAAGTTACTTTTAGTCCAACCAACATCATATGTGCAAACAGAGGTGGTTGACACAGAGGTCGTACTCTTTATATTGTTAATATTCAGTGTCACCGTAGATGAGTTTTAGATATAGTAAGTTTTAGCAGGTGTTCCTTAAGTTATTTCAAGGGTTCCTCCAGGTTGGAAAGGTTGAGAAAGGCTGGTTTAGCATGTGATGGGAGTGACAGATTTGTTTTTGTTTTTTTTTTGCAGCTGGCCTTCATAAGTAAAAAAAAAAAGTATCTCAAAATATTCTCCTTTTTCTCAGTCTTTTAAGGATGACGTGGACCTCAAACAAGACCTACGTTGTGACACCATTGACCGAGAGGAGTACGAGCTCAAGGTGCGGCACCCAACATTATTCAACCAATACAAATAAAAATCTAACTAAGACTGGGCAATCACAAGATCTAGAGTTACCACAGGTCCCAGGGTGGGACACAGCACGGTGTAGCACTGACCCAATGATGCTGACCAATAGCCTATTCGGCATCATCTAGTCACTAAACTAAACATCAAGTCACTAAACCAACAGTATCTCGACTTGCACCTTGTCTTAAGCACGAAAGAGTTGTCTGGCATGCAGGATAATCAAGTCATGTGTACTACTAGTGTAATGTGTAAATTATTATACAAGACTCTATCTATTTATTATCTCTTTCTCTTTGTCTTTCTCTATCTCTTATGAATATGGGAGTGAAGCAAACATTACTATACAGTTGCATACCTTTAGAGATGTGAGAACAATGTTTCGAAATTGTGATTTATAAACTGTCTGGTGAAGATGGTCCAGAACCCCAATTACACTTCTGTGAAGTTAGGGGAGATGGTGGCAACAGATTGTTGCAGAAAACAAAGTTGACCGCATCAGATATGGGACATGGAGTACCTTGGCCTGGTGGTGCATAAAGCTACACTTGAACATGGCCCAGTATCCGGTGGAGACTTGACAACCTGATGGATTTCAAATTGGACAGACATCAGAAGAAAACATTATTCAGCGTTGCGTGCAATTACTCGGACAGTTCCTCCAAATGGATTGAGATGGTCATCATGTTAACCAAAGCTTCCGGTGGATTTACAAAATATCTAAACGGACATATTGGGCTAACTCTGGTGCTCTTGAATGTAATTTCGACTTTGCTCCTGTGGACTTTTTTTTTTTTATTATTATTGAGGACTGGTCAAGTGCTACTTTTACAGATGGACCAGATTTTGGATTCTGACTTAACCATAGCCTTCTGTTTCAAATACCATGTAACCATCAGTGCCAAAACAAGGGTCGGTCATCAAAGTTATATCTGCTGAATTCACAAGCGTTTTTTTTTTTCCTAAGCAGTGACCAAACACCGAAATGCATTGGAAGGACCACAGACACATTGTTGGTCTAGTAATACAAACAAGAGTCAAATTTTTAATGCTTGAATGTTATCCCCAACACTATCCAGGCTGGAGCTTGGTTCAACAGAGAGGAAGTTTTAGTATCTTTCAAAACGTTGGTAGATATTACAACCATTTGTTTTATCCCCTCGCAGCTTTGATGACCAGACCTCAACCCCATCACTTACTTTTGTAACTCTGTGATTGCTGAACATCAGCCAAAAGCTAACATGTGAAATAAGATGTGTTTTTTTTGTATATGTCTGTAGTCGAAAAACATTTTTACTTGACTCTCTTAATAAATGTATGCACCTGTATAGTGACTTTTGCTTCACTTTTGTATTTAAATTCACGTGCCCTATACGGCCAAAGGTTTGTGACGCACCTGACAATCACACCTATACGAGCTTGTTGGACATCCCATTCCAAAACCATGGGCATTTATATAAAGTCCCCCCTTCCTTTGCATCTCTAGAAGCTTCCACTCTTCTGGGAAGGTTCCCCACAAGAGTGTATCTTTGGGAAGTGGTGCCCGTTCAACCAAAAGGGCGTTGGAGAAGCCAGGTGTAGATTACTAGGTTAAATAGGATTGCATTTAAATTAAAATTTGTTTAAATTCATCCCAAAGTGGTCACTAGGGTTGAGGTCAGGGCTCTGTGCAGGGCATTTGAGTTCCTCTACACCAAAACTCATCAAACCATGATTGTGCACTGGGGCACTCATTCTGGAAGAGAAAAGGGCCTTCCCCAAACTGTTAACACTGGGCTGGAAGCGTACAATTGTCTAAATTGTCTTTGTATGCTGTGGTCATATTAGCAGATGTGATGGTCAGGTGTCGACAAAGTTTTGGGCATATAGTGTGTATAAGTCAATGAGTTCTTCATATGATAGGACAGACTCCACTAGTGTTACCTTTTCTTTCTAATTCTATGATCATTTTTCCATCTCCATCACTGTCTGCCATTGATCATACTCCTCTTCTTCCCTAGGATCCAACCAATGGATATTACAATGTCCGAGCTCATGACGACAGGCCGACATCCCGATCTGTGTTGTACGCAGAGTACCGTAATCCTGGACCGGCGCGATTCGATGCTCGTCCTTCGTCTCGTCTTTCTCACTCCAGTGGCTATGCCCAGCTGAACACCTATAGCCGGGCTCCTACTTCAGATTATAGTACAGACCCTACTCCCACTGTTACCTCTGCTACTACAGACACCACCAGTCAACTTTCCTACGAGAACTATGAAAAGTTCGGGACACATGCTTTCTCAACTAACACTGGATACCCCACATACAGGCTCGGTTACATGCAGCCAACCACAACAGGTATGGATCGAGGACCTTATGATACTTTTGACCCAGTGGGGAAGTTCACAGGAGCCACCCGTTTCTCCTACACATCCCAGCATTCTGACTATGGACAGAGGTTTCAACAAAGGATGCAGACACATGTCTGAGGACTGACAAAAAGTGAAAACCGGTGGGCAAAAAAAGGGGAAAGTAAGTGGGAGGACGCCTTTCAGTTATGCCTTCTCTGATACAATATCGATTCATGAGACAGCACTCTTGGAAGGGAAACAAACTCTTACCATATCTTCTGATACTCAGGGACCTTATTGTCTTGATCTCAGAAGTCCCCAAGAAAACAGTCGAAGTTGCCCGCCAGGCAGAGCCTCGAAGTTTTGATATGGAATAAGATGCCAAACAAAAAGCTGGCCTTTTAGCACCTGACCATTCCTTGAATACCACTGATTTTGCCATCTGGTGTATGGCAAACGCTTTGACTTAGACCTCAGCTCGGTACTGGTGAAGCTTTTCATTCCGCCAATAAGTTCCATGAATCACTTTGGTCTTTTTCATACAAACTCATTTCTGGTTTTTAGTCATCTCCCTAACTGCCAGGAATGTCATGCCGTCACTGACTAGAGGCATTTGGTCTTGCTATTGCAAGGTCTTTTGTAGGTATACATTCCAGCTGTTGGAATCAAGAAGAGGAAACTGCTGATTCCATGTTTAGCCACCACCACCTTTTTCGTCCAGTAGTCCTCACCATCCTGGTATTTTGAAAAGCAGCTGTTGGCAAAGTGGAGTGGCTAGGATTTGGACAATCAAAACAACACAATTTGGGAACATTTTGTGGGTCGTTTTATAAATTCCACTTTTTGGGATACTGGTGTTCATCCTGCTTCAGGAACACATGGTCTAGAATTACTACCAAGTGCTCTGCTGTAATACTCCTTCCTGCGTGCCCGTCAGAAGGGGTAACAGTGTGCGAATCTATAGAGCACTCCTTCACCCCTGCTTGTATTGTACTTGTACTTTACGAAGATCTCTGTGGAGAGATGTATACACCATTTTTATAGTTATCTTACTTTATATTCTTGCTGCATATTTTTGCACATGATTTTTTTTTTGGCTTTTTATTTGTACCTCGACCTTGGCCTGTCTCATATAGAGGTATCATATTGGGCTTGTATAGGCAGTAAGAATAACCAGTTTCACATTTCCAAAAGCTCCAGCATTGGATGAGAATTAGAGTTTGAGAAAAATACTCATGGACTCAAGTGCTCTACCATCTTGGTGATATGAATGGTAATACATTATATATAGCCAAAGGTATGTGGACATCCCTCAAAATATTCCGTTCAGGTGCACAAAGCAAGTTCTTTCAAGAGATGGTTTTGAGGAACTTGCAGGTGAGGTTTTTGTCCTCAATCCTTCTAAACACGTTTGGGTTTAATTGGCACACCGAGACGGGTCTTCTTCTCCAACATCACCTGATGTGACAATTGCTCCTTTGGCTGAATGGGTGAAAATTCCCACAGATCCCTCCAAAAAAAAGCCTTCCTAGAGGAGTAGAGGTTCTTAAGAAGGGGGGCCATTTCAATATTAACACTCAAGGTTTTGTTATGATAGTCTTCAACAAGTTTATATAAATGTGATTGTCCACAGACTTTGGCCATATATACACTAAGCAATATAATTCTCTATAGTAGAATTCTGGTAGCCAATATTGCTTAGTAACTATGACTATTCATAGCAAAGAACTGATGCATGTATTGGAGTGTGAAAGATGAGTTGGTACCGGCCAGCTGAAGATATGGAATCCAACGTCCACAAGGGAACATAGGTACGTCCTACTGAGTTCATGGTAAAAAGGTTGAATAGTCTACATAGAGTACAACCTGAGTACAACATAGTGTACAGACTACAACCTGAGTGTTTTTCAGCCAAAACCGGAATTTTAATCCAAAATTCCAAACGCTCCTGTATAAAGGTTAGTTCCTCCAGAATAATTTATTATCCAGAATACATTTCTGAGGGATCCCATACCGTGATCTGTTTTAATTCCCATCTCATGCTTCCATGTTGAAACTCATACATTCATTTTTTTGTTTTAATGCTGAAAAGACGTAGGAGACAGGAGTGGCGGCACTGCCCACCCTGACACCGAATGAAGTTCAGCTGAAAATAATTTGATTTTTTTTCACAACACGATTAGTCCTTCTTTATGGTTCTCTATGATTTCTAAAGCTGAACTCCAGGCAAGCAACTAAATATACCAATGACACATATAGGGAAGTTCACAATCCAACCTACCTTAGTGTTTGCAAAGGAAAATGTTTAGGTATGTATTGATGTATTTTACAGCTGTTCCATATGCCATAAAATTAGGGACTTGTGCTAAAGGAGTATCTGTGCAGTTGATTATTACTATCAATAATTAAAATGTATCTAAAAGTATTTTTTTTTCATTCTTGATGGAATAGGGAATACACAAAAATATCTGCTATCTGCGGGAGATTTCTCTTTACATCCCGTCCTGAAAACGCAACAGGAAGTCAAAGGCTATTGTTCCAAAATGAGGGAAAATCTCCTCTTAGATGGTTGTCACTGGAACTGTCCCCTTTTGAAGATTTCTATCTATTCCTGCTCTGATGATAATTGTAAAACTTTAGTTTTTTCCTCATGGTGAGTCCTGGTGAGCAGCCATAAAAACTTGATACAATACTACCCGCTGTCTATGTCAAGGGTCTTCAAACTTTCTAAACAAAGAGCCAGTTTACTGTCCTTCAGATTATAGGTGGGTATGGGTGGGGGTGATTGTGGCCAGTGGGAATAGAAAATGCCCAAGCATCAGAGGGAGTAAACAATGTATAAGGTTTGGTGGTCAGTGGGAGTAAAAAAATTACATAGTGCCTGTAGTAAGTCAGAGGAGTGCCCCATCATTGGTATCAATGGGAGGAATAGTACCCCATCATTGGTATCAATGGGAGGAATAGTACCCCATCAATGGAGTCAGTGGGAGGAATAGTGTCCCATCATTGGTATCAGTGGGAGGAATAGTGCCCCATCATTGGTATCAGTGGGAGGAATAGTGCCCCATCATTGGTGTCAGTGGGAGGAATAGTGCCCCATCATTGGTGTCAGTGGGGGGAATAGTGCCCCATCATTGTTGTCATTGGAAGGAATAGTGCCCTATCATTGGTATCAATGGGAGGAATAGTGCCCATATTATTGGTATCAGTGGGAGGAATAGTGTCCAATCATTGGCATCGGTGGGAGGAATAGTGCCCCATCATTGGTGTCAGTGGGAAGAATAGTGCCCCATAATTGGTATCACTGGGAGGAATAGTATCCCATCTTTGGTATCCATGGAAGGAATAGTGTCCTATCATTGGTATCACTGGAAAGAATAGTGCCCTATAGCTGGTATCAATGGGAGGAATAGTGTCCCATCATTGGTATCACTGGGAGTAATAGTGCCCCATCATTGGTGTCAGTGGGAGGAATAGTGCCCCATCATTGGTGTCATAGGAGGAATAGTTCCCCATCATTGGTATCAGTGGGAGGAATAGTGCCCCATCATTGGTATCACTGGGAGTAATAGTGCCCCATCATTGGTGTCAGTGGGAAGAATAGTGCCCCATCATTGGTGTCAGTGGGAGGAATAGTGCCCTATAGCTGGTATCAATGGGAGGAATAGTGTCCCATCATTGGTATCACTGGGAGTAATAGTGCCCCATCATTGGTGTCAGTGGGAGGAATAGTGCCCCATCATTGGTGTCATAGGAGGAATAGTTCCCCATCATTGGTATCACTGGGAGTAATAGTGCCCCATCATTGGTGTCAGTGGGAGGAATAGTGCCCCATCATTGGTGTCAGTGGGAGGAATAGTGCCCCATCATTGGTGTCAGTGGGAGGAATAGTGTTCTAATGGCCAGAGAAGGGCAAGCAAAGGGCTGTATTTTGGTGTTCACTGCCCTAATTTATCCAAAATGAAAAAAAAAGGAGCTTTAGATACACTTTAAATCTTTTCTTCAATCTTAAAAATGCTTATACCAAGTGCTCAAGATATTCCAGAAGACACGGCACAAGTACAATATGTTGACCAGCATTTTAAACTCATAACTCTACTCTGTTTTCATTATATCCAATCGTTATTTAATCCCATGGTCATGACGTGTTCAGTTCCCTTTTACTTCAGGTGCCTTAACACTTGTAATTGTTAAGGGTTTGTATTTTTTGACAAAGAAAAAAAAAAAGTAAAAAAAAAAAAAAAAAAACAACACCTGTGTTTGCTAAGCATGGTACTTATCAATCCTATGGGATTCTTGATGTATTTAAATTTTATATGCTGAGCCTACCCTCTGTAAATGGCCACGGAATCTTATAGATCTTCAAAAAATAGGTCTACTGCCCATTAATTCAGAGCTCCTCTCTTGATTTTGCTTAGAATGTAGAGAGAAGAGCGCCAGTAGCATGAAGTCCTAAAGTTATTTGATCAAGAGTTGTTGTTTCACTAAATCCCGCGTGTTTCAGGGACTCAAAACTCCCCTTCATCAGGGCTTTAAAACCTTGATGGTAAAACATGCTGGACTTTCTGGTTTGGCAAGATTTTTCCAGCCGTAGAAATGGCGCTTTCCACTCAACATTCTAAGCTGATCTGAGATACGAGCCTACCTATAGCCCCTTTCCTCTGAAAAAGCTGCCTAAGGGCTATTCCCAATATTTTAACACTTACTTGGACCAACGGATCTAGCGTCCCGAAATTTATTTTACCTTCCTATCTTGATTTTTTTCCATTTACATTCCAAAAATGATGTAGATAATGACAAGCTCAACTAGAGAATATAAAAAGTTAGAAAAAAAAAAAGTTAGAATATAAAAAAAAAGGTAAAACACAACACAATCTCACTATTTGTTTCTTTTTTTTTGTGAATTATGAAAATTACGAAAATTTAATTTAAAAAATGTCCCAATATTATGAAAAAAATTATTTAAAATACATTGTAAAGTTATATAATATAGTGATGATTTCAACCTCATGAAATCACATTTTTTTCATTGGTAATAGAATATAGTATATAATATCTTAACGTATATCTAAAGCCAAAATACTTAAAAAAAAAATTATATTTAAGAGAGGAGAATAGCTAAAACTTGATTGGTTTTC